TGTGGCGTTCCGAGCACGAAGAGTTGAAGGCCGTCGGCGCCCAGCCGTCTAAGCTGACCACCTTGCAATCCTTAGGCCCCTGCTTAGCAAGCTGAGGCCCCTGGAGACAGCCTGAAAACTGGTCGAACTCAACGACCCATACAACCCAAACGCCATCTTCGCAATGGCCGACAAGAAGGCTGGGGAGTGGGCCATTTGCGCGCCGAGCGTCTGCGAAAAACCACGTGCCAACGCCAACGCCGTCCAGCCTCGCGCGGGCAAGCCCGGAACAGGCAAGGGCAAAGACAAAGAGGACACTTTCGGTGACAGCAGCTGGCTTCCGTGCTCCTTCATTCTGACAGGCCACTGCAGATTCGGCAAAGGCTGCTGTTTCTCCCACGACAAGACGACCTGGCCCACAAACTGGGACCTTCCCTGGGCACCAACGCACACACACACACTCACAAGATGCGCCCGTGACATCTGCAAATTGTGCTTCCAACAAGGCCGCTGGGTAATGCAATGCCCGTGGAGAGGAAAAGGTGACGGCGACGCCAAGTCCCGCGAAACGGGATTCAAAGGAAAGTACGGCCTGGGCCGCGGGGGGCTCGCGCCTGAACAGCCAGACATTCGAAACGTGGACGGCCAGGCATCAGGCAGTTTTTCGGGGAGAAGCCCCACAGCACTTCCACACAACAGGACCAAACCACGAGGTTAGCCTCAACGACCTCGAGGTTATGGCCCAGCTTTTCATGGACAAGCAGAATACCGAAAACACAATGACAAACGACCTCATGCAGCGACTGTCGGGACACGTAACACGACTACCCGTCCCACCGCTCTTGCTTGGCGCAGATGCCGCTGGGAAAAATACTTTCTGCATGATTGCAGACTCCAACGCTGAACGGCACATCCTGTGCGGCCGTGACGTCCACCACACAACAAATGTGCGGCCGCTTCCACAGCCCATCCTGTTGGAAACAGCGAACGGCGAGACTATCGTGACCGATTAGGGAAATGTCGAGCGTGATGGTGCGCTACTACGTGGGTGCCTACTGTGTGCCACTGCTACCTCCAGTCCTCCAGTCTCCTCGCTATTACCCTCCTTACCGATAGCGGCTGGGAATATCGACATGGCAAGGCGGGGGCGGTGCTATCGCCCCCGACTGGGTAGATGTACGCGTTGGTACGGCAGAGCAGTCTGTACTTCTTGCATCACACCCTGCCTCCCAAACCCGATGTCAAACAAGATGCCTGGACCGCAGCCGATGAGGAGGTGGGGAACGAAACTGGTGACGATTTTACGGGCAATCGTCATCATCATCATCATCATCATCATCATCATCATCATCACCACCACCACCACCACCATCATCATCATCATCATCAGCATCAACATCAGCATCAGCATCAGCATCAGCATCAGCATCAGCATCAGCATCAGCATCAGCATCATCATCATCATCATCATCATCACCATCTACGCCTGCATATGCGTCGCCCGGCGGTTCCGCTGGCGGTCGTGGCGAGGAGCATCGCCCCGCCAGATCCGAGCCGTCAGCTATGCCTGCCCATGTGTCGCGCGACGGTTCTGGTAGCGGTCGCGGCGAGGAGTCTCGCCCAGCCGGATCTGATCCGTCTTCCGCTCCTGTTAGTACGTCGTCTGGCGGCCGCTGCGGTTGCGGCGGCTGCAGCAACGTCTTCCCCCGGGCAGACCCCAGGACACCCCATCAGGAGTTGCCTCAGACGAGCGCTTTCAACACGTACGCCAGCCTGGCCGCCTTCGAGGACGGCTCGGCCATCGTCGACACCCCGGATTCTTGCGTAAAGCTCTTACAAGCCCAAGTTGAACATAAACCAGCGTTGTTCTTCCGACGCCTGCGCCGGCTGTGGCGCTTCCATTCCGACCTCGGCGGCGATTTCATGGGCGAGTGCGAGCGCCGGTTGCGCGAGACTGGCCCTGTGCACACGACTGGCGACTTCAGGTCCGCGCCAAATGGCATTGCAGAAAAAAACGAATTCAAGATCTCTCCGAAATCGCACGCGCACTCCTGATGCAGGCATCCGCGCCGAAAACACTATGGGATGAAACCCTGGAGCACGGCAACAACATTTGCAACAACAATCCGAAAACCATCCTGGGCTACGAGTCCGAACTAATTCCGGAAGCATTGGAGAATCCAGACTGTACTTGGCATGATGTGTCCACTTGGCCCCCTTGGGGTTGCAAGGCAATATAGTTTACCCCACAGCCTCATCGTTCTGATAAACTTGACCCGGTTGCCAGCATCGGCATCTTCGTCGGCTTCGACTCCAATGGCCATAGCATTGCTCCTATTTCCCGTAGCGGCGACGCTTGGATTGTTGCGAAGTCTATCGTATCCACCACCGTCCTGTTCTTCCCCGGCGTCTTCCCGCTCACAGATCCGGCATCCGAGCTCGACCCACTTGACGTTCACTTTGAGTCTGAGGAGGCGTCCGTGCCCAAGGGCGGGAACGAGGTCGACGTAGACGCGCCCACTTCTGTACCCCCCACACGTCGTGTCCCTCCGCCAGCCCCAGCTGCTCAACGCGGCGGTTCACGGGACGGTTATGGCGAGGAGCGCCGCCAAGCCGGATCCGGCCCCACCGTCGTGCTTCCGAGTTGCGGTGTCCGCAGCTCCAGTCATCGCGCGAACCCTGAGGACAGGCGGAGCTATTGGCGTGAGCGCTACCATGCACGCAAGCGTGGTCAGAATGGCGCACCTGCTACGGCTACACGACAGACACGGCCACGTGTCCAGAAGGCGGGGCCTTCTGGCGTGGAGACTTCGCCCGATCGGGAATCCGATGCACAAGTCAGCACTCCATCTGATTGGAGGTCATCTGCCGACTCCGAGGGTATGAGGAGTGCTACTCCGACCCTTCCAACGAGGACGTCGCAGCCTTGTTCGCTTCTGCCTGTTCGCCCCCGCCGGCGCACCCAGCAGGAGCCACCTCGACGTCCACGTCCGCCGAATCGACTTTGTTGCGAGCATGTTCAGCGGAGATTGTCAAACAAGAACTTCTGTCCCAAGTCTTGTACGCTCTTGGTCGTCAGGCGGCGCAGGTCACACAGCTGATGGAAACCAAAATATATCTGAACACAAGCAGGGGCGCCACCGCCAGCAAGCGGCAGCGGGCCCCGCGCATGGTCCTGAAAATAGGTACCGGCCTCCTGCCTGCCCATCGCACGAGAGAGATTTTCAGATATGAGTCAGTGAAGCAGTCGCACAAAAGGTATTTGTAGATTCAGTGTACGAGTCCGCGAAGACATACTTTTATAATGCGTGCTCGAAATAGCCACACAAACTATGAGCTCAGTTTGCATTATTTCGACTTCTACATAACTGATACGGTCGTTGCATACCGTGCTGCACGATGCATTGATACTTGTACTGAAAGGACATCTTCCTCGGCAGGTCTGATCAGCCTGCTGACGGTGGGGTGAGGTGTGCGTCAGGGTCCTCTTTCTCCAACTCCCGTCCCCCACCTGTCGCGCGCCCGCTCCGCGGCGCACCGTCCTGCTTCGTCGCCACAGCGCGGCAGGGCGGCGTGCGGGACGAGAGCTGCCGCACTGGTGCCTCCAGACACCAATATCTTTTCCCCCATCCTCACTCCTCCTCCTCCTCCTCCTCCTCCTCCTCCGCCTCCTCTTCCGCCTCCTCCTCCTCCTCCTCTTCCGCCTACTCCTCCTCCTCCTCCTCCTCCTCCTTGTCCTCCGCCTCCTCCTCCTCCTCCTCGTCCTCCTCTTCGTCCTCCTCCTCGTCCTCCTTCTCCTCCTCCTTCTCCTCCTCCTCCTCCCTCATCGCTCCCCCCGTCGTGCGGGTAGGCGCTACAATGCACGTGCGCTTCAGCGTGCACCGCAGAATGGTCTGTTGAATCAGTCCATGTCATACTTGGGCGGCCAATTCTGCGGGTGCCTCATGGACGCAGACGGGAGGGGTTAGGATGATTAGGGAGGACCCGGGAGGACTCGCATATTCCAGCGGCACTCCTTTTCCATAAGGACCCCTTTCCAAACCCTATATAAACAATTGTTGTCTGTGGAATCCACAGGAGCTCCATTTTATCATGCAGATTCGCTTTAAAACTCTGTGTGCAACAATGCTGCTCTATTGCACGCGGTTGCTGTGGTGCACACAGGCGCCGCGATGTCCACAGGCGCTGTGGTGCACGCAGGCACTGTGGTGTACACTGGTGCTGTGTTGCACACGGCTGCTGTGGTGTACGCAAGCGTTTTGGTGTATACAAGCGCTGTGGTGAACGCAGGCACTGTAGTGCATACTAGCGCTGTGTTGCACGCGGCTGCTGTGGTGTACATAGGCGGTGTGGTGTACACAGGCAACTGGGTGCACGCAGGCACTGTGGTGTACACAGGCACTGTGGTTTACACAGGCACTGTGGTGCAGATCGCCACCTACACGCTGCTGCTACTCGTCCCCGGTCATTCCTGAGATTTTCCAGAAGCCGCCGGCGCGAAATGCGACGTCATCGGCCCCCTCACCCCAGGTGACGGCCGTCATCGCCTCGGAATAAAAAAAACTGGCTCCATTCAGTTCAATTGTGTGGGGTCTGATGCAAAGTTGTCCGGAAGGCTTGTGGTGCCGACCCATTGGTTTCGGGCAAGCTTCTGGTGCCTGATCGCTATAAAGTTGGAAATGCGTATGGTACCCTTCCGTGTCCACCCCGTCCCGCACAGAGGGGCTTCGCACCCTCCCCTCTGGTGGTGTGGGTGTGCGGGCCGCCCCCAATGTCGCCTCACGTAATTACCACGTCAGGGGTGGTGGGAATTCTGGATGCACGGCTCTCCCCTCCTCCCTCCCCCTCCCGCGTCAAGCTCTACTCTTGGCGGGCGTCAGGCAAACCTCCACGGGACCACAAAACCCCACCCGCACCCCCGGGGGCCCGACAAATCTGGGCAGCCGGCGGCCGCGGGGAGACCCCGCCACACGGGGCGGCGCGGCGGGGCCGCGCGCGGGGGGCGTCGCCGAGGCCGCGGCCCCGCTCGCGGGGGATGCTCCGGGACCGCTCGCGGACCCTGTGCGGCGCCGGCGCCCTCTCCTCGAGGCCGCGGGGGGCTCCCGCCCGCCTCCCCGGCGACGATGAAGACGCCGCCGCCTCCCGCCGCCGCTGCCCGCCGCTGCCGCCGACGAGGTCGACGAGGTCGACGACGACAATGACGACGACGACAAAGTCGAAGACAAAGTCGACGACAAAGTCGACGACGACGACGAAGACGACGAAGACGACGACGACGACAAAGTCGATGACGACGACGACGACGCCGACGACGACGACGGCGAGTTTGAGATTCTGGGGTCGTCCTCTCCGAAGTCTTTCCGGGCGGCAGAGAACTAACGCTGCAGTCGTCCCCCCCTGCTGGTTGCTCACCGTGCAAAGCTACGACTCCTCGCGCCCTCAGAAACAGCAACGGCGCCCAGCCTTTCAGAGTATTTCGGGCGGGTGGGGAAGGGGGGGTCGGTCCCCTAAACGGGGGGCCCTTTCGGGGCCCTGTTTGAGCCAGCAGGGGCCCAAAAGTGGCCCAACAGGGTCCCCAGAGGTTTCCTTTAGGGCCTCTGTCTTTACCCCCCTTTTCTTCACTTCACCGCCGCGCGCAGTCGTCTGGGAAACTTCGAAAAATTACAAGGATACGATGCTGAAAAGCGAGTGGCTTACACAATCCGGCTCTCGAAATAGGGCCGCACACATTCGTCTGACAGGCTTCCAACATTGTGACGATTTCAACACGCAGGTTTCGTCTTGGCGCGGCGTGCATTCGTCTGAACATTTCCCAACACTTAAAAGGATGGAGGGCAGGTCCGTTTCCAGATGCGTCTCTCGCTCGAAGTCCCAGTGCGTAGGATGAACATGAGTCTAAGGACTCAGCATTCACATGGCTGGATGGCGGCCCTTGCTTGTTAAAGTGCAGCTTTGGTCTCCGACTCCCTCACTTGTGGCCAGAACCTGAAAGCGTGCATCAACTGCACGGGTGGAGGGTGGTGACTGCCCTGAGCGGTTCTGGGTGGTTGATCCTACCCAGCTGGCACTTCGTAGACACAGGAACATGGATGGCGGAACCTTCTCAAAACTGGTCTCTCGCCTGAGGGGAGGGTGGGCGCTTCTCGCCGTGAGCATGTTTGCAAACACTTGTGTTCAGGGGCCGTGAGGGTGTGTTGCAAACTCGTTCACTCATCCTGGGTTTACTCTGCTCTTCATTGTATCGCTCTTCCTCCTCCTCCTCCTCCTCCTCCTCTCTTCCTCCTCCACTCTTCCTCCTCCTCCGCCTACTACTACTACTACTACTACTACTACTACTACTACTACTACTACTACTACGACTACTACGACTACTACGACTACCACGACTACGACTACTACGACTACTACGACTACTACAACTACGACTACGACTACTACTACTACTACTACTGCTACTACTACTACTACTACTACTACTACTGCTGCTGCTACTACTACTACTACTACTACTACCACTACTACTACTACTACTACTACTACTACTACTACTACTACTACTACGACTACTACGACTACTACTACTACTACTGCTACACTACGACTACTACTACCACTACTAGTAGTAGTAGTACTACTACTACTACTACTACAACTACTACTAACTACTGCTGCTACTGCTACTACTACTACTACTACTACTACTACCACTACTACTACTACCACTACGACTACGACTACGGCTACAACTACGACTACGACTACGACTGCGACGACGACGACGACGACGACGACGACTACTACTACCACTACCACTACCACTACCACTACCACTACCACTACCACTACTACTACTACTACTACTACTACTACTACGACTTTGACTACTACTACTATTACTACTACTACTACTACTACTACTACTACTATTACTTACTACTACTATTACTTACTTACTTACTTACTTACTTACTTACTGACTTACTTACTGACTTACTTACTTACTTACTTACTTACTTACTTACTACTACTACTACTACTACTACTACTACTACTACTACTACTACTACGACTGCTACTACTACTACTACTACTACTACTGCTACTACTACCACTACTACTACGACTGCTACTACTACTACTACTACTACTACTACTACTACGACCTACTACTACGACCTACTACCTACTACTTACTACTTACTATTTACTAGTTACTACTTACTACTTACTACTTACTACGTACCACTTGCTACTTATTACTTACTACTTACTACGTACTACTTACTACTACTACTACTACTAATACTACTACTACTACTACTACTACTACTACTACTACTACTACTACTACGACTTACTATTTACTACTTACTACTTACTAGTTACTACGTACTACGTACTACTTACTACTTACTACTTACTACTTACTACTGACTACTGACTACTGACTACTGACTACTGACTACTTACTACCTACTACTTACTATTTACTACCTACTACTTACTACTTACTACTTACTACTTACTACTTACTACTTACTACTTACTACTTACTACTTACTACTTACTACTTACTACTTACTACTTACTACTTACTACTTACTACTACTACTACTACTACTACTACTACTACTACTACTACTACTACTACTACTACTACTACTACTACCACGCCTCCTCATGTCCTCCTCTTCCCTGCTCCCCCCCTCCTCTCTCATTCCTTTCATCGCTTCCCCTCTCTTTCTGTCTCCTCCTTTCCCTCTCTCCCTCCCTGCTCCTCCTTGCACATTTTTCCTCCCTCTCCTCCTCCACCTTCTCCTCCTCCGCCCCCCCCCCCCCCGTCCTCCTCATCCCCCTTCTGGAGTCCCTTTAAATGACGATCTCGAGTTGAAATCAAGCCGCTGCGAAGAAGAGCCCCCAGGGAGGACCCGCTAAAGCTCAAACCACAACCAAACTATCGACACGCGATCGGCGATCCTCGATGCTCGTTTTTCATCACCCTGCTGCTCCTGCCCCCTCCCCTTCCTCTCCCTGGTCCCCTCATCCCTCCTCCTCCTCCTCCTCCTCCTCCTCCTCCTCCTCGTCCTCCTCCTCCTCCTCCTCCCGCCCGCCCGCCCTCCCGTCCTCCCTCCCTCCTTCCCTCCCTCCCTTTCCGCCCTCCCTCCCTCCTTCCCTCCCTCCCTTTCCGCCCTCCCGCCATCCCGCACTCCCCCTCCTCCTGGACCTCTCTCCACCCTCTTCCGTCTTTATCCGCTACTCCCTCCTCCCTGATCCTCCCCGCCCCTCCCTGATCATCGCTGCTCCTCCCCTGCCCCCTCTGCTCTTCCTCCCTCCTCCCCCTCCCTCCTCCCCCGTACCTCTTCCCTTCACCTCCCTCCTCCCTCACCCTCCCCCCCACCCCCACTCCCCTCCTTACCCTCCTTTCCTCCCCCTCATGTTTGCATTCGCTGCTCTACCTAACTGCGGAACGTCTGACTCTCCCCTCCTCACATCCTCCTCCTTCCCACCCACCTCCTCCGTCGAAGGGCGAGCTCCTTGCCGCGGGGGATGCTCTTGGACCTCTCCCGCCGCCCGGCCTCGCGCGGACCCTCCTGGAGGGGGACGGGCAGGTCCGGAAGACCGCCCGTGCGTACCGCCGTCGTCGTCGTCGTCGTCGTCGTCGTCGTCGTCGTCATCGTCGTCGTCGTTGTCGTCGTCGTCGTCGTCGTGGTCGGGCCGGCGTCTCTCGGAGATTCTGGTCGCCGCGGTTGGGCGCAGCGCGGGAAGCTGCCCGAGGCAAACCGCGAAGGGGGCCCCGGGCCCGATCCGAGCGTTTCCAGTTTGGACGCCGGCTGCGACGACGATGACGGGGTACAGGAAATCAACAGGCTTTAGGCCGATGCTCTTCCCATCGTACTTGGGGAGTATGAGCATCGCCTCCCGGGGCCCGACGCGCGAACACCATCCAGTTTCGATGCCTCTAGGCACTCGAAGTTACGTCTGGTGGCCGAGGCGAAGCGGCCCGTCTGGCCGCGGCCATGGCTGACTCCACGGCGGACGCCGTGTCAAGCATCCCCGGCGCCTGCTGGGCAGCACGGTCGCCCCCCGGCGCCGTTCCGCCAGCGTCGCCCCGCCCCCGCGCGCGACTTCCGGCCCTTCCGCGGCGGGGCGGTGGGCTCCCCCCACCAAGCCGCAGCGTGCTGGGCTTGGTCGGCCACCGTGGGTCGACACCGACGGCTCGTCCCGACGACTGCCAACGCCCCCCCCCCCCGACGCCCACCATTACGCCTGCGCCGCCTGGTCGGCGTCGCCGCCGTAGTAGGGTCCGTAGTCTCGTCGCGGGTGTTTTTTTTTTGTCCCTGCCCCTGGCCTGGCCCGTCTGCTCGCGGTTGCTTCCCCTCTTCTCCTCTTCCTTGCTTCCCCCCCTTTCCGTTCCTCCTGCTCTGCTGTCTCCGCCTGAACCCCCTTCCACCTGCCCGCCCCGCCGGCCTTGGCCTCCCGCATGCGCGTTCGTCGTCGTCTGCCTGCTTCTCCCCTCCTCGTCCTCTTCCGCCGGGCAGCACAGCCTGCCCGGGCAGCACAGCCTGCACAGGCTGCGTGTAGGGCTTCAGCCGAGAGCAGAGTAATGGCAACACCATTTCCTGCTCCTCAAATGCAGGGCGTCGTCCACCGTTGCATCGCTTCCCCCCTTCTCTCCTACAGCCGAGCTGCTACAACAAAGCGGAATGAGGAGCGAAACCGCTTTGGGGCCCCGAGAGAGCCTGGGTGCACGAGCAGCGCCAGAGGAGCAGCCCTAGACGGACCTCAGACATAACGAAGCCCTTCCGGACCCGAACGGTTCCTCACCTCACCGTCTTGCCTGCATCACGCTATCGTGGACTAGGGATCCGCGGACCTGGCACGTGGGCGCCAGATCCGCGGATCGGAGAAGGTACCCCCTAAACGTGAGGCCAATGCCGCATTACTTGGCGACGCAGCGCGCCGACTTTGCATGGAAACGGCACCCGTCGCTAATCCACGCTGCCTTCATCAATGTCTCCGTTTCTTCGATTCTCTCATCTCTTGCACCGTCCATGGGTCAGAGGAGGCCTCTCCATATGGAGGCTGCCCGGGAGCATCCCCACCAAATTGATCCTGCACTATTCCTTCTGCCCTCCCCCCCCCGTGTCTTCGGTTGCTCGATTCTCTCCCGTCTTGCACCCTCCAGGGGTAAGAGGGGGCCCCTCCCCCTAGAGGCTGCCTTGGCGCATCCTCACCACATTGAACCTGCACTATTCCTTCAGCCCCTCCCAAGCGGCGCAGACCGTTGGGGGGGGGGGGAAGGGCAGCGCTTCGTCGAAGGACTGCTGCCCGCAGCCACGAGCTACGGGAAGGAGGAGAGGGGAGGAAGAGGATGCTACATCTTCTTCAACGTTGGGTATGTACATCCTCCTCCTCCTCCTCCTCCTCCTCCTCCCCCTCCTGATTCTTCCCCCCTACCTCCTCCAGCCTCCACCTGCCCCTCTTCCCCCTCGGCACAACGAGCTCTCCAAGGATGTCCTCTGGCTCGAGGAGAACCCAGCCGCGGCGACGAGGGCGCTCCAAGATGCCCCAAAAAGACCAGAATGGGCGAACACGCATGGCGCAAAGAAAACCAGAAACACATCATCGGCCCAAGAACCCGGGAAGGGCTTTAGAACTGCGAGGTATGGGAACGTTTCAAAACACCCACATAATGGGGCGATGGGCAATGCCAATGCTGAAAACTTCGATCTTGATGATACCGTGCGAAGATCTGTGGTGCTCTGCGCTGTGCCGTGCTGCGGTTGCACATAAGCGGTGCTCAGATGAGAGCTGCACGCAAATGCCACAACCGAAGCTTCGTGCAAACGGTGCGAAATTGAGGGTTGCGCACAAACGGTACAAGATAGAGAATTGCACGTACACGGTGCAACTCGTAAGGTTGCACGTAAACAGTGCGAAATCCTGGGTTACACGTAAACTGTGAAAAGATAGACGACGTGCCAAAGGACGCACCAGGGGACGTGGCAAAGGACACGCCAGGGGACACGACACGGAACGGGCAGGGGAAGCGCCAGAGTATGAGCCAGAGAGCGCGCCACAGGATGAACCAAGGAACATGCCACGGGACGCGCCAGGGGACGTGCCAGAGGACGTGGCAGCGAACGCGCCAGTGGACATGCTAATGGAAGGCCAGGGGACACGCCAGGGAACGTGTCAAGGGACGTGCCATGGAATGCGTGTCAAGAACGCGCCACTGAGATGCCAGTGGCTGCGCAAGCCAGGGGACGTGCCAAGGGACGCGCCAGGAGACGTGCCACGGAACGTGCCAGGGGACGAGCCAGCTGGACGGCAACCCTGCTGCAACTCTTCGCAAATGGATCCGCGCTCAACCTGGCACAGTGCTTCTTTAAACCTTGCTGGATCCTGCGTCCGCGCTCCCAGGGCCACGATGATTTCTGGTAAGTTATGCTGCGCCCGCGCTCCGAAGGCCACGTCCCCTTGAAGGTTACGATGTGTCCGCGCGAGCAGTATGCTTCGTAGAGTACGCTGCGCGCGCGCTCCCGAGGTCACGATCCCCTGCAGATTGCGCATGACCTCCAGCTCCCAACGCGTCCTGGGGCGCCCCAGGCTGGGCCTTCTGGAGCCTCGGACAACCGTCGTCTGCAAAGAACTCTGAGCGCGGGGCGGGCCATTCTCGAGCGGACACTCACAAAATCAGCGATTCGCAGATCTTGTTTGAATGTCCTGCAGCTTCCAACGCGCCCCTCACAGGGAGTTTGTACAAAACGCTCTGTACCCTGATCTTCCATGAAGGCGAAGAAGGGGTCTGCGGATCCCAGTTAATTATCGAGGTTCCAACATAGGGGGGCCTACTTTGTTCGAGCGGGCGCGCAGAGTATTCATTTGTTCAACTGAAAATGCGACTTCTTTACCAATTCAGAAGAGAACCCTGGGCCAGCGCCCTTTCCTGTCGGTCAACATCAAGCCGGGAGATCGGATCGGATCGGAACGCTGAAGGCGAAATCGAATCGTATCGGCTGCACCAAAATGCACAACCAACAATGCCATGTCAACACCAAGCTGCATCAGAACGACGTCGGAATATCGGATCGAATCGAGCTGTTCAGAACCGGCATCGAACCAAACCGATCGGATCGACATGGGCCCTGGCTTTGCGTTCTGGACATCTGGCCCTGTCTCGGGTCGGACGGAAGGGAAGGGTAATAAACGGGGGCTGACAAAACAACTCACGTAGCTGGTTTTCCCGGCGCCAGATGCGCCAACGCAAAAGCGTCCAGCGGCGGGGCTGGAACCCTCTGCAAGCAGCAGGGCTCGTTTCCTCCTAAATTTCCATGTCCCCCCGGCGTCCGATCCAATTGAACATGCCTGAAGACTGCCAGAATCAAGCCTCGGCGACTAAGGAGCGCGCAACAAGTACATGCTTGCATGCGTCGACAGATCCTGCGACAACATCAGTCAAGGCCTGTCTAAGGCAACGCTGCCATGAAGGTCAACCCCGATTAAATTACCCTACTACTCTTCTCTCAGCTGCACACACAGGGTGACCCTGGGCAAGAGTGACCTGTGGTGCCCAGCTTGAGGGGGCTGCTAGAGGGGCCGAATCACAACAATCCAGGCGCTAGCTAGTGCTGGCGGGACCCCTATGCACCCGGACCAAAGGTCCACTCCTGCCAAGAGTCACTCCTACGCGTAGCCAACTCTTTTCGTGCCTCCTTCTCTAGAGCAGGGGCTGACCGTCCCAACTTTCCAGTAGATCTATCACAAAATATTCGCATGACAAGGGGACGTCACACAAATACCCTCAGAGCCTCTTGGGCTCTGCCAGAGGACATCTCGGGAAAACCACAGCAGGTCCTCAGAGCACTTTCTGGTGGACCTACAGGGAGGTCTGGACGCCTCGCCACTGCTTGTTATGCACCAGCACCAAACAGAGGCCCCCTATAGATTGGGTCGGAGATGCATCGGCGCTGCTGGGCAGCCATCCTCCGACCCAGTCCACTCCGACCCCATTCCGGAGGCCTCGAACCAAAGGTTATTCCTGCCAGGCGTCACTCTGACCCGTCGGTCGGACGGAGTAGGTAGAAATATGGAGTAGGAGGGCGGCAGAACTAGGTTGGAGCTCTGCCCACCCCCTGAAGAGGGGAGAAGAGGGAAACCCGTTCGACTCTTGAAGCAGGAAGACGCCTAAAGCAGAGTAAAATCTGGGAACCCACACATGCCTACTTCCTTCGACCGACGGGCACGTGCAGCCGACTCTTTTCTGTGCCCATGGGCCCCGCTGGCCCGCCACGAGGGCCGCCATCGGCGAGGCGCCGCCCGCGCCGAGCGCGCGGGCGGCTGGCGGGGGCGCGACGTAGCAGGGGGGAAGCGGCTTCCCCGAGACCCCCTGCGCCTCCCGCGTCGTGCTCTGACCGTCCCCGGGCCGCTCCCGGGGCCCCGGGACAACCTCGGCACCCGCTCCCCTCAAGGACCCGCCTCCCCCACGGCGGGCGGCCGCCCTACGCCGGCGGGGGCGCCGGGCCCAGCCGCCGCAGCACCTCCGAGGCCAGGCTCAGCGAGGACGTCAGCCCGGGGCTCTCGATGCCGAAGAGGCTCACCAGCGCAGGGCGCCCGCCCTCGCCCGCCTCGACGATGCTCGAGGAGCCAAAACAAAGTATGGACATTCAACTTTCGGAGCTCCGCGCGGAGCTCCTGGATCGGCGCTGCAGCCCCCTGGCGGCGCCTCCAGCGCCGCGCATGGCGCGCTCCGCCTGGTGCCGATCCAAGAACTCCGCACGGACCTCCGAAAGTTGATGCTCATGCCATATGTGTTTTTCCTCGAGATGCGGAAGTCCGCCGCGGCCTCGCCTGGGGCGGAAAGCTTTGGGCGGATGCCGCTGTAGTCGGCCACCAGGGCCCCGTCGGGCAGCCCGGGCCAGTACCGGCGCACCTCAGTGTAGAACCTCTCCGCCCGCGACGAGTCCACGGCGTACGCCGCGGGCGCCGCGCGCTCGTCGTACGCGACCTCCTCCACTGGCCTGCCGTCGGGCATGGTCTGGGGCAGCCACTCCACGTCGGGGCCGAAGCGGACCTGACCAGCGAGGTCGACCGTGGCGTGGATGCCCAGGCCGCTCGTGTTTTTCTCCGGGACGGGGTACACCAGCCTGGAGAAGGGCCTGCACGAGGCCGGCTGCAGCGCGTAGTAGCTCCCCCTGCAAAAGTACAGCGCGGGCACCGCCTCCCCCGGGGCGCCCAGAGCGCGCGCCACCCGGGGCGCCGCCAGCCCGGCACAGTTCACCACCTCCTGGGCGCGGATGCGCAGGCGCTGCCCGCCGCTCTCCGCGGCCACCTCCGCGCCGCCGGCGGGCGGCAGCCGCCCGCCGTGGAGGAGGCGGGTGCGCAGCGCCACTGCGGCGCCCGCATCCTCGGCCTCCCCCAGCAGCGCCTCCATGAAGCCGTGCGAATCCACCACCGCGGTGCCGGGCGAGTGCAGCGCTGCAACGCAGGACACCTCCGGCTCCAGCTCCCGCACCTCCTCCGCGGACAACGCCTCGAGTCGCACGCCGTTGCCCGCGGCGTGGGCCGCGATACCGTCGAGGTCGCGCCGCTGCTGCTCGCTGGTCGCGACGATGAGCTTACCGCAGAGCCGGTGGGCCACGCCCCGCTCCGCGCAGAGGCGCAGCAGCTCCTGCCTGCCCTCGACGCAGTGCCGCGCCTTGAGGCTGCCGGCGGGGTAGTAGATCCCCGCATGCACCACCTCGCTGTTGCGGCTGGAGGTGCCCGTGCCGATGGCGCCCGCAGCCTCCACCACCACCACCTCGCGCCCGGAGCGCGCGAGGGCGCGGGCGCAGGCGAGGCCGACGACGCCAGCGCCCACCACCAAAGTCTGCACGCGCTCCATGGGGGGGGGGGGATTGCGCCGCGGGGAGGGGGGATGGGCGCCCGCTTGAGCCAAAATGGCTGCAGAACCATCCTCCACCTCCTCATCCTTCCCGCCTTCCTCCTTCTTTCGTCTTAACCCTGCCTCCCTCCGCTTCCTCCCACCCCTCCCCCTCACCCTTCCCTTCCTCCTCCTGTGGTCGAGAACTTTTGCTTAGCTCGTTGCGACGGCGGCCCCGGCAACCCGCCACGCCATGCGAGCGGATAGCGTGTCGCTCCGCTCCGAGCGGGGCGGGAGGCTGAGAAAGTTTCGGGAAATTGACGCCTCGGGACCGGGCCGTGGATAGCGTGTCGCACCGCTGCGTGGTGGGCCAGAACCGGCGCCGCGGTACGCTCAGCCAAAGTTCCCGACCGCACTCCTCCTGCCAGGAGCCTCCGCGGCCAGGCGCGTGAGCGGGCCCTCGACGCACGCGTGGTCCGGGTGCTCCAGTGCTCGAGCACCGCACTGGGACCGGTCTCCAGCGCGCGAGGAGCGAGCAGCTTCTCTGTGGCCAAGCGTGCGGCTCGCTCGCATGCTGGGCCGCAGATGGGGAGCGGGAAGCAAACGCAGACCAGGTTGCGGCAATCGAGGGCCCTTATTCATTGTTCGCGAAATAAAGCCGGTGACCAGCCCCGCCCGCCCCCCCTCTCCCCCCCGGTCACGTCACGACTCGCGCCGCCGCCGTCTGGCAATGACACATTCCCAGGCACTCCCAAACGGCGCCAGCGCGACTCGTGACCTGACAGTCCCCTCCTCCCCCTCCCCCCCATCCCCTGGTCACGCCCGTTACCGCCAGGGAGTACGAAAATCACCTCCAAGCTGGACGGGAAAAGCTCGTCGGAGCACTTCGGCATGAGGCAACGGGGTCCTGTCCTGAAAGTGCTTCACCGGTTGTGGGCCTCTGGGGACAGTTCCTGGGCCGCAGGACAAACAAAGAACTACTGAGGAGTAAGACCGACAGGCCCCTGGGTCTAGCTTAGAAGCAATTCCCCGCAGGACCCCTTTCCGTCATGGTTATTCGATGCGCACCGTCCCGCCCAACTAACAGAGTGGGTGTGCAAGTCCCTAGCTCCGTGCTCACCGTCCGACCCAACAGGACGCTTGCAGGGAGTGGCGCTTTCTCAACACCGCAGGGCGTGTGCTGGGGGTGCGGTCATCAGCTCCCTGCGGTCCCAGCTCCCTGCACACCGTCCGACCCAACAGGACGCGCGCAGGACGTGACGGGAGTGGCAGTTTCTGGACATCGGGAGGAGTGCCGAGGGGGTGCGGTCCCCAGGTCCTTGCTCATCGTCCGACCAAACAGGGCGTTTTGCCGCTCATTCATGCAACGCTTTGCGTATACAGCTCCTAGACTTTATGTCGAATGAGTTTGCCTGGCCTGTAATGCCTTCCTGATAATGCTCGGAGACCTGCTGTCGAAAACCTGTAGCCTGCCGCAACGCTGCTGAGGAGCCAGCGAAGCATGAGTAGAGAAGACAAGAAGAGGAAGACGGAGGAGGGACAGTCAGTTCTGCCCGTGACTCGCAGTGGACCCACTCCACGGCTTCCCCTTACTCCTCCTCCTCCTCCTCCTCCTCCTCCTCCTCCTCCTCCTCCTCCTCCTCCTCCTCCTCCTCCTCCATCTCCTCATCCTCCTCCTCCCCTCCTCTTCCTCCTCCTCCTCCTCCTGCTCCTCCTCCTCCTCCTTCTCCTCCTCCTCCTCCCTCCCCACTCCGACCCAGTATTCCCCTCTCTCGACACCAAGCGAAGTGCGCAAGGGGTGGTCCCTATATCGCATCCTCACTTGACGATTGCATCAGCACATCAGACATGGACCCAGTATGTGGGCCTCCTCGGCTGCGTACTTCTGCAGTTGCCTGCCAGCTCATCGAATGCTCCGTTTCCTCCCGGGTCCTGCTTCTCGCCAGGCCTGCGCATGCCGCCGCCACTGGCCCCTCCTGGAGGTGCCCTCCCGCCCCAGGACTTCCCCTCTTCCGAGCCTGCCGCGCGGCAGACGCCGCTGCGGCCGCGGCGGCGGTCGCCGTCGCGCGGCACCTGCCACGCGGAAGGCGAGACCGGGTGGAGGGCGAGAGCTCCTGGGGCCCTCCTGGGCCGTCCGCCCTGGGGCCCTCTTTAGGCAGCAGGCGAAGAGCGACGTCGGGGACGCGAGGCCCAGGACGGCTGAACAGCTGATTCCCCGACGTGCCACCGCCGCAAGGGGGCATTAACTTCCCAGCCGCCCTGGGGCAAGCGTCCCCGACGGCGGAAAATCAGATTTCAGCTGCCGCTGATCCTACCCTAACTTGTGCCGTGTCTGGGAAGCGGCTTCCTAGATGAAGTCCGAATAGGTAGGGCCGGAGGGTCGCGCCGCATCGGCGAGTTCGGCCTGGAGGAACCCGGGCGCCACATCGAGCCGCATCGCCGATGCGTTGGCGATGCGGCGTCTTGCTCGGAGCCCATCTGGGAGGCCTAGCCCGAAGGGGGGCCTCCTGCCGCCAGTCTGCCTGCCGGGACGCCCGGCCCGCCGCGAGCCCACGTCCGGTCCTGCGCGCGCGGCTGCCGGTGCCGACTGATGGACCGGCTCCGGGACTTGGCCTGCTCAGGCGGCCGCCGCCTCTTCAGCGGCGAGGCGCTCTTGGACCTGTGCGCGCGCGGAGCAGGGATGAGCCAGACAAGATAGCTCGCGAACTCCGCCATCCATACACCACCAAAGCGCGGGTCCAGAACGTGAGCCGATCGGGACCGCATCGGCTGTCTACGCATCCTCACCCCCATTGCTGGCGGTGCGCAACAGGGGCTTGGGGGAGGGGGGACGGCTTTTCACTGTTACAGATACACATAAGCCCGCGCCTCACACCTACAGATGAGGCCCACGCCGGCCTTACACCTACAGATACAGTCGGGGCGTTGACCTAAGGAACCCTAAATAAGGAACGAGGCCCCTTTCTCCCATAAGTTGAACTTCGATTTCCCATGGGAAACCTCAGGAGAACTGAAAGTACACTGCAGAACAAACAAGGAACACGGAGCCCCTCCCCAACGAAAAGGGTTCCTTCTTCAGGGCCCCGACTGTAGGGCCCGCGCCTTCTAAGACGCAAGGGTGCCTCTAAGAAACCTTCCCCTCTCCCCCTATCCCCCTCTCCGCGTGGCCGACATTGACGGCGCGGGCCGGGCCGAGGCGGTCCCCTTCTGGCCTGCGCGCGCGCGCGCTCGCGGTTCCCCTCCACTCGGCGGGGGCGCGCACACGCGGGCCGTCGCGAGGTCCGCGGTCCTCGAAGGAGGGCGAGTGGCTTCGTGGAGGGCGGCGCCCTTCTCAGAATGACCAGGGGGCTTCTGGGAAGGCGTAGTTAATTTATGCACATCTACGCATATGTGTATATAAACATACACAAAAACATCACTGTAAGACGAAGCCAAGACGAGGATAATATCAGGTGACGGAACATCGAGAACCTCTAAGATCCGCTGGCTCTGGAGGATGTCACGGGCGCCGCGGCCTTCTCACAGCGTTCCGGAACGCTCTGAGAGCGTGCCAGAACGCTCTGGAATGGATTTATCCTCGTCCCAGCCCCGTCCGAACCCTACCACATCGCGATTCGGAACGTTGATAGGCAGACGGGGGCACCGCACCAGCCGACTTGCAACAGGCAAACTCATGCTCTGGACCTTGGCCTGGGCAGCACATCGGCAGTGCAGCTGCCCTGCGTGCCTGCAGGGAAGCGTCTCTTCTTGGAATCTTGAGATTGTCCCGCGATGCCTTCTCGACAGGCCGCGCCATTTGCTCCACCCTCCTGCGCGCGCCGCCAACCCACCTGCCCCTCCTCCTCCTCCTCATCCTCCTCCTCCTCCTCCTCCTCTTCTCCTCAGATGTCTGGTCGTCGCACGTGTCGTCGCACTGGGCGTTTGCCGCACAACTTCGTGCCCTGCGGACCCTCTGCGCGGACCGACCTGGTCCGAGACGTGCCGTAGGAAGACGAGGCCGAGCGCTCTGGTCATGACTTGTTCGCGATGGTGCCCAGGTTGCGCGACGACGGATTCGATCTCAGGGTCCTCGTCCTCGCCTCTCGTCTTTCCCTCTGGCGAAAGACTCCTCTGGGGTGCGCAGAGGAGGCCCTCAGGTCGTGGGCACCATAAGGAACATCGGAGACATCATGCGCAACGAAGGACCCCGGCGCGTGCCAAGTCTTGCAAGAATTTGCTAAACCTTCACCTCGACGTACTCTTCCTCCTCTCCATGCTCCTCCGCCGCCCTCCGCTTCAGTCTTGGACACGGTCTCGTCCTGCTCGTCGTCGTTGGTGTAGCCGTCTGTGCCGTCGCCGCCGACGTCGTCGTCGTGCTTGTCGTCGCCCTCCTCCTCCTCATCCTCGCCCTAGCGTCATCCGATCGGCATGAAACAAGAACGCACACGCACCCCCATACTCATTCATACGCAGGGCGACCAGGAAGAATACGTAAGACAACATGGCGGTGGTGGCGCCGACCGCGATCGTCCTCCTCCTCCTCCTCCGCCTCGCCCTCATCTTCCTCGACTGCGTTCAACTCCACTGTGGTTCTCCACTCATCCGTCCTCCGCGTTCTCCCACTTTCATCATCGCTGTCCTCCTCCTCCTCCTCCTCCTCCTCCTCCTCCTCCGCCTCCACGTCGGTCCTCTTCATCCGTCGCTTGTTCCTCCTCATCGTCCTCTTCCTCCTTCCCCTTCTCAACCACGTCATCTTTCCCCTACTCAGCCGTCACCGCGCGTTACACATGCAGCGCCGCGGGTAAAGCGCTACGCCAAAGGAAGAACTACACTGGAGCGCCCACGAAATCTGGGGGCCTCGCAGATCGCTCTTTCGCCTCTCCTCCCTACTGCCCTATCCTATCGTTCATTCTTCCGTTCCCTGCTCCCTCCATTGTCGTAATCGCCCATCCCTCCGTCCGGGTAACCCCTTCCTATTCCTCCTCATTCTAGTCCTCTTGAAGATCCCCTGCGTCCAGGTCACGCGACCTGCACGAAGGGCACAGACGCGGGAACTTGTAGTGGGGAAACCAAGAAGTACCGATACCGCTACTCCCCAGGCCTCTCCTGGGGTGCGTTCTGACCAGGAGTTCGAGGCGAATCCCGCGGTGGCGACGAAGGCCTCCCATGAGGCCCCCAAAAGGAAAAACGGGCGAAAGGTAACAGTATGGGTACCTTTTTCCTCCTCTGATGTAGCAGATGTATCAGATGTCAGGCCTCTGAGAATGAGGTCTCCTCGGTGGCCTCCAGATGTCATCCAGGACACCGTCGAAACCTCCACGTGCGCCAAAGCTCGAACCTGTCCGTCCCTCTAGGGCCAGGCAAAAACGAACCCGCACAGCTACAGCTCAACAGCCGTCCGCGTCCATCGAGCAACACGCGCAGCGCCTCTCGGAAGGGCTCGGAGGGCTTCTGAGAAGGTCTATTTGAAACGCCTGGGCCCTTCTAAAAACCCCCATGCCCTCCCGGAGGGCCACGTCCTCGCCCCACGCCTGATCTATACATATATATATATATGTATAGAAAGAGAGGCAGAGAGAGAGAGAGAGAGAGAGACAAAGAGAGAGAGAGAGACGAAAGTAGGGACGAAGCCCAACAGCAAAAGTTGTCAAACTGTCGACAGCGCGTAATTTCAAAAGAGACGACGTGCCTCAACTGGACTGCGATTGCGGCGACATGGACAGCGAGTCTTGTTCTCGAAACTGTGATATGATATATGATGACTTTCGTTCTGACTCGTTGCGTCTCCTCTTGCAGTTGATCCCAGAAGCCAAGAGATCCAGTGCCTCGATTTGTTCCATTCGGGGTCGCCAAAGCCCCGACCCGCTCCCTGGGGCCGTCTCTTCAGCTCAGGTCGTTTTGCAGACGGCCCCAGGGCCAGTCGAGGGCCCCCAGGAGGCCGACCACAACCTGCGGACACCTGCCGCACTGATTTGTCGATGCGCTGCATGGCTCGAAGATGAAGGACACGCAGAGTGCGACGCCTCGACGCACACGCGCGAGTGTCGCCTCGACGCACACGCACGGTTGTCGCCGGCACGTTTCGCCTTCCCTGCCTGTGCGCCTTGCGATTTGTTGTAGCTCTTTTTGGCAACACGCGCTATGGGGGGCACGGGGAGGGGGGGATAACGCGACAAACCCATGGGACCAGCGCGCACCAGGACCGCATGGGCGACGGACCGCGCATGAGCACCTCACAGCGCACCACACTACGTTTTCTGATTAGGCTGTTGCGTTTGCTACGCCATCCCCACACTATACCTGCGAACTCCTATGCCTGTGAGCACCTGTGGCCTGCGAGAGCAAGTACGGCACCATAATGGCCTGGCAGGAAGAGGAAGGAGGGATGATTAAAAGGAGGGAGGGAGGAAGGATGGAGGCGGGGAGGAGGCTCGAGGATAGAGAAAGGCGGTGTACTCAAACGATAGGGTTGATTACATTTCTTGGGGCGAATTGTCTTCGAAATGAGGACCCGTCTCCCCTCGGTCGAGCGAGAAAGGAGAATATGGAGGCGGAAGGGAGGAGGAAGGAGGACGGATGGAACAGAGGGGATGCGGGGAGAACGCAAGAAACAAATGAACCCAAGAGATAGGGTTGATTACACTTCTGGCGCCGTTTCGTACTCGGGCGCCCCTCGATTCGTCAAGTTCGCAGCACAATGTTCTTGCGACGCCCGCACGGCGAGAATGACAAACCTTGTGAGTACCAGAAGGGCCTGCGACCACTGCGTGTATGCACGCCTGAACGCCGGCCCTGCCAGCACCCGTAATAGCGCGGGTGCTGCAATATTGGGGAATCGAAACAATTCTCAATTACGCACGACGTCCGTGAAGAGCGTATCACCGCGTCACTGCCAAAGAACCATTATGTTTTCTGACTAAAGCGGAAGAACAGCACGCCGATGGGTTCCCAAGGGCGGCGAGCAATTTATATCTACGCTAATGTAATTTGTGCGCGTCAACCAACCGTGCGCAAATGAACACCACACAAGCACGCGAGCGCGACAACTTGCCAGTGAACGCCACCGCATCGTTGCGATCACCACAAGCCTTCAAGCGCCACGTTAGAATGTGACTGTCACGTATGCGCGTGAGCACAACAGTATGCGTACGAACAAATATTATTTGAACGTAGATGCTTGCTTCCGCCAGCTTCAGCGGGCCTTCCGCCACGACAGACAGACACGCAAGTTGGTACGATTTGAGAAATCGGCCCGAAGCCTCAGATCGCACGAAATTGCCCGACTCTCGGCCCCGAAAACACTCCAGAGGGTCCCAGAATGGAGAGGGTGTGAACATGGCCTCGGGCGTCGGATCCGGGTACGGATCCGCTACGGATCCTGGGCGGGCCCGATGAATTTTTCACGGATCGGGGCATTCTGAGTGGTGAAAACCTGTGATGTTTGGACGGATCCTGTCGAACCGCTGTACCCTTATATCATATGAACTAAGGGTAATGACGTTTTTCGAGGCCGGCTTCCGGTCGGGGGCACGGGGCTGGGGCCACGGGGGGGGGGGGGACAGGCGCCTTGTATAACTTTACCGAAGCGTTCCTTCTAGAATTCTACTGACCGCATCGTTCCTTTTTAGAATTTTACTATGCCGGCCCTTCGAGGGCTCTTTTTTTCTTTACCAAGGGAAAAGACAATCGCGGAACTGGTGCGTGATCAGACCCCGCGGTGAGGTTGACGCACTCATGCTCGGGTTCGCTCGCGTTCAGACACACGCCCTACTCGTCCAAGATCACCCGCGCCCACGCCCGCACGTGCCCAGGCCCAGTCATACCCCAACCCCATTCGCGTCCAGACTTCACCGGTCTTGCCCTGCGCAGGGGCTCGCTCGCACGGAGCCACTCAGACTCCCTCCGCCCCGCGCAAGGGCTCACTCGCACCGAGTCGCTCGGACTCCCCCTCGGGTGACGCCCGCCGAGGGCACGCGACAACCGCTCCCCAAGTACCTTCAACAACTCAGGAGGCTGCGGCCTCCACTGGGATCCTGACCGCCTGTCTTGCCGCTAGGGCCGTGGCGTCGGTGATCCCGAGTTGCTGAAGGCCCCAGGAGGGGTCTTCGCGCCCCCCAGGGCCGCCCCTCTGGAGCCGAAATGTCGACGGACCCGGCGAACTCGGGTAAGCGAGGCCCTCTTCGTGGCCGCCCGCGGGGGGTCGCGGACGTGCCGGACGTGCCAACAGGGTCCCACAAATCGTACCAACCTTATCGGACTGTCTGTAGCGGCGCCCCCGTTTTACTTCCGCCGCCTTCCCCCAGCATCCCGCCAGCTTCCGTCAGAGAAGAGTTGCCCGCGCCATGGCGTTGCAGAGCTCGATCCCTCGGCGCGCACGAGCGCGAGCGCGCACTCCGCCGGCGTCGGCGTCAAGGGCGGCGCAGGCGCAGGGGTCGGCCACGCGCAAAGAGCGGCCGCCGGCAAGAGTGACCCTCTTGTGCGCGGCTTCCCGGGGGCCGCGGGGGGGCGGAGGGGAGCATATCCAGGGTCGGCGCAGGCCAGTGCTCCGGCAGGGCAGGGGAACCACAAGCTACCGATGTCGCCACGCAGTGGACCTCTCCCAGGGCCTCCCAGAAAACCCCCCAAAGGCAAAAACGAGGAAAGGGTAGCGGTATCGGTACCTTTTTCCCCCGTCTTCTGCGGCAACTCACCGGAACCTCCCAGACAATTTTCTTGGCTCTTGCGAACCGACGCCAATCGATCATAATTCGATCGATGCTACTCGACGCTAAATCGGCGCTATCTCATCGACTGCCAGGTGCTCGTCGATGCTAGTGCGCTCCAAGACCAGAGTTATGAGGGAGGCGAATGCTCCGATGATTTGCGACCGACCTACTCTGGATTGGGGGGGGCGCAGCTGGCCCGCACCGAAAGTTGCCTCTGGCGAAGGGCCGCTCCTGTGCGTAGCCGGGCGGGGCAGCAGCGCGCCTCCTGCTCGCCTCCGAGCGCGGCCGGCGGTCGCGGGAACGCTGGCGGTCGTCCCGGCGGTCCCTGAGAGCGGGTGGCGGCGCGGAGGGAGATGTCTGCAGGAAGAAAGCGGCCTCTGTAAACAGATATGTGTCTATACCTATTGATATGATACACACATGCTTACCTACCCCTCGCATGCACACGTATATCGGCGGTTCGGGTTGTAGATCTTGTTGTTGCTGTTGCTGTTGATGTTGTTTGTTGTTGATGCTTTTGTTGTGGGTGGTGCGAAGATTGCTTTCGTTGTGAATTTTCATGTCTACAAGATATGTATGGTTGATCGCCACTCTGGTAGCTATTTTTGGTTTAAATAAAATTGCTTTTCCTGGGGCTCGCGCTCTTGTTTTTTCCAAGGGGGACTGAGGTGTTACCAAAATGTGCCCATGCCCCCCCCGCCCCCCGGCTACAACAGCAACGGCTTCCGCAGGATACTTCCTCACGGTGTTTTCCCGAATCACGCTCTCGCGCAGGCTTTCCTCACAATGTATACAAGAATCGCGCTCTCGCGTGGCACTTCCTCGCAATGCGTTCAGACGCCGCGGCCTCGACACTCAGGAATCACGCTCTCGCAATGGATTCCCTTACGATATATTTGGAAATCGTGCTATCGCCGAAAAACTTCCCCGCGATTTATGCAGGACGCACGCTTCAGCAACCCGCCAGCTCGACCTAGCCGCCTGGGCCCGCCTTCCCGACCCGCCCGTTAGTGTCTACCCACCTGATCTGTCTGCCACTCTCTCGTGCTCTATCCTCCTCCCTCCCCCTCGCCCCTTCCTTTCATCCGTCCTCTCTTCCCCTGCTTCAGGGCTGCACGAAACACACGTTGCAGGTAAGATATATATATATATATATATATATATATATACCCCCCCCCCAAAAAAACGCGGATATCGAGGGTTCGGGATGTACGTGTTCACTGGCACGCGAGCAGATAAGAGCGAACAGTGTTAAACTGACTGTTGCTATTTGTGGCGTTGGTGTTGTTGTTTGTGTGTGTGTTTGTTGTTGTTGGTGTTGATGTTGATAGTGTTAGTGCTGTTGCTGTCGTCGTTGTCGATGTTGTTGGTGCGGCTGTTGTTGTGGTTATTGTTGTGTTTGTTGGTGTTGCTGCTGTTGTGGTTGTTGATGTGTATGTTGATGTTGATGTTGCACTTATTGTTGTTGAAGTAAGTGTTGGTGGTGTTGCTATTGTTGGTGTTAGTGTTGTTTGTTGTTTGTTCTATGTTGTTTGTGTCCTGAGTATTGGGTGTTGGGTGGTTTTTGTGTTGTTCGGTGTTGGTTACTTCGCTTGCTGTTTGTAATTGTTTGTTTTTGTTTGTTGCTCGGTGCTTGTTGTCCGCGACCCACCCGCGACCCGGCCCGCGACCTACCTACCGGCGACCCACCCGCTACACACCCACGACCCACCCCGCGCCCCACCCGCGAGTCACCCGCGACCCACCCGCGACCCACCCGCGATCCACCCGCAACTCACCCGCGACCCCCCCGACGACCCACTCACTTGCTTCGACGAATAATTCGGCGCCTGCGGCGGGCGCGTTGCATAATTTGTTTTAAAATCGGCGCCCGCGGCGGCCTTCTTCCGATCTCCGCAGGCTGCCGACGACCCCGCCACCCCCTCACTCTGATCCGCAACTGCGGGATATGTGCGTGTATGTATGTATGTATGTATGTATGCATGTATGTATGCATGTATGTATACCTGATATATGTATGCATGTGTATGCATATATATATATATATATATGCATATCGGTCTACACATACATATGTGTATGTACGGGGGGAAAGGGGAAGAGGAGGAGGAGGCGGCATCTTTAGAACCTGTGGGGGCACGCTTGGGGCCTCCTGTCGAGGAGAGTTCCTGCCCCGTCTGACGCCGTCCTCTCTGGGCCGACTTGGGGACCTCTTGGGGTGCTCCAGGGCCGACTTGGAGGCCATCTTGGGCATATTGAAAGCCCCTGGGGCCGTCATGGGGCCCTCTAAGGGCCGCCTTGGGGGCCTCTTGGGCGGTTCTGGGGCCATCTTGGAGACCTCGTGGGGCGACCTTCGGGGGCGCTTGGGAGAGGAGGGGAGAGGATAGGGTGCAGGAGGAGGACCCGTGTAAGCCCATGAGTCATCAACGATGAATAAACCCTCCATCCAAACCTCCCTCTTCGTGGGCTCCTACACGGGATTTCTTCCATTCAGGGAACTACCTCTTTGGAAGATATCCGTTTGAAGACCGTGAAATGAAGCATGCCAAAACATCATTATCGGGACTCCAACGCCACGGATCAAATTGTCTGCTGCATTTTCACGATCCTGAATCGTGCCAAAACGCTATCCCTGGGACTTCAACACCGCGAGCCAACGTAACTGTTGAACCCTTGTAGTCCTGAAACGCTCCAAAACACCGTTTCTGGTACGTTGTCCATGGGGAAGCCGCGAAACCTTTGAAGCTTTGAAAACGTTTGTGCGCTGCGATAAAGCGAAAACCACATTTTGTAAACGACCCGCCCCCAATCCGTGAACCATTTGCAATTCTTTTGAAACGAATGTGCGCGGTACGAACACGGAAACCACATGTTGCAAACGACCCGCCATCAACCCGTATACATGTTGCAAGAATTTAGAACGAATGCGCGCGGCACGAAAGCGGAAACCACATTTTGAAAACGACCCGCCCTCAATCCGTGAAACCGTTTCAAATGTTTAACACGAATGCGCGCAGCGCTACGGCGAGAACCACATTTGAAAACGGCCCGCCCCTCACCCACGAAACTCTTGCACATTCTTAAAAACGGATTTGCACGGCGTTATAGAGAAAATCACATTTTGAAAACGATCCGCCCTCAATCCGTGAGGACATCTAAGGCGAAACGCCCGGACCGCCGTAAAACTCAGCCTCGGGGTGCGACGGGGAGTGCGACAGGAAGAAATTACGTGTTAGGACAAGGAATGGACACTAAAAAGGAAGATGGAGAGGGGGAGGGTCAGGACAAGAGTGAGGAAGAGGCCTGTCGGCCCACGGCGGGGGGCGGCGGGCGCCCACCTGTCGCCCTTGGCGTCCTTATCTTTGCGGTCGGCGTCCTTGTCTTTGCGGTCGCGGTCCTTGTCGCGGTCCTGTCTGCAAGGGGGTCCGCCCTCCCCAATACATCCCTGCCGTCTCCCCCGCCGCGTCGCGGCCAGCTACGAGGCTGCGTATCGCAGCAAAAGCAGCATGTGCCTGGGCGGGAAAAACTTTGTGCGCGTGCTCCAATCCTGCTATGGCGAATCGTGCCCCGTCCACCCTGTTCATCCACGTCCTTCTCCACCTCCTCACCCTCGGGGAACGACTGGACAGTGGCGAGACCAATTCAAAGACTTGGCCTTGGCAAAAACCTTATAAACATCGTTTTCCCCCATGAACCTCCCAATCCGCCCCGCCCCCCCCTCCCTCCTCCTCCGCATCGTCCCAGCTATCCCTCCTCCCTCCCCCCGCCTCCCCCTTCTGCTCCTCCTCCCGCCTCCCTCCGCCCTTCCTGCTCGAGCGACCGCTCAATGACGACGACGACGACGTGCTAAGGAGCCGCGACGCCGATGCACCCTTTGAAAAATTTCGAGCGGCCAGCGCGCAAGGGGGTATGATCCCTGAGACCCGCGTGGGATCGCCTCCAGCTGCGCGAAATGCAGGAATTGCCGCAAAGGCGCCATTGCGCCGACATGGCCGAATGCGCCCAGAGCTCTGGCACCAAACAGCGCCCGTCGCGCACAGCCGTTGCTCTTGCAGCGGACGCGACACCAAGCAGAGGGCTCGCACGCGCGCCGCGGACGACTCTGGACGTCCCGAGCGGCCCAAAGCGCGCTCCAAAAACACCCAGCCGCCGATGACTCGAGCCAACATGGCAACGGCAGAAGATATGGCCTATGGCTTCAAACGCAATGGCGATTGGCGGAATACCGGCACACCTTCGTAGTCCTGACGAGCCATGAAAAATGAGGGTGAGACTGAACGCTCGCAACGTCTTGGCTACATTTGAAAATCTGTCGCGGAATCGCGCATTTGGCATCTGAATACAATCACAACTCCGCTTCCCTGGAACATATGATGCGCTGGTTGGCTTGTTCTGACCCGTGGAAATACGTGACTGCGCCGCGAAGACTCGCGGATACATTCGCGCAATATGACATCTCGCGTGGCGGTTTCAAACTTCCGCGCGATGCTGACGTCGTCGTTCTGGCTCGGGACATCCTTCCGCTTTGCGCGAACGTGCCAGGAATGTAAAATTGCGCGGCGCCTGGCGATCTGTGGGCGGCCACGTTTGGTTATATGTTGGGCACCGGCTGGTTATAAGTTGGTTAAGTATTGGTTAGTTTGGTTAGTGGTTTGGTTCCTGATGGGTTATATGTTGGTACTTTCTTACTTTCTTGGTTCTGTCGTTGTCACTGCTGTTTTGTGCTCAGCCACGTGCTGCTTGTGTTTCCAACTATGTGCACTCTACGCGTACATCTCAGGTTACTGTCAATATGTTATACTGGTCTCGTATAACGTGCACGGTTGGTGCCGATGCGCACGCACCATACAATCAACGCTTACTTCCATGGTGATGCGATGCATGCTCCTCGTCCTCGCTGGTCCTGTTCCTCATCTTCGCATTCCCCCTCCTCTTCCCGCTACTGCTGCTGATCCTTCTCGTCATATCTCTCGTGTTCCATCCCCAGCCGGGCGCCAATGACCACGAACCTCTGGTTGTGCGCAGCGGTCGTAAATTCCGCGCGACTGCAGGGCCTCGCGCGAAATTCCGAGATCGGCGCGCAAAATACTCTAAGAGGTGCACAAGCGCTTGCTAGCGCCGTAACACGACGACGACGACGACGCCGCCGTTGCACCGCCAGGGAAGACAGGCACCCCTTGCGGTCCCGAGACGGCGACCTCCTGCGCTTGGACTTGGAGCGCCCCCTAGAGTCCCGCGACCTTGGCGCGAAGATGGGGGAGGCAGGAGGCGACAGGAGGAGCAGAAGGGAGGAAGGAGAATCGAGGTTTTGAAAGCAAAGCAGGAGGAGGCACGACAGAGGCAGGAGGGAGGGAGGGAGGGAGGGACGGAGAGGGTGGGACGGAGAGGGAGGGAAGAGGGACCAAGGAGGGAGGATTGAGGTTACTCCGCCGACATTGCCATGTGCAGTTAACGTAGTATGGCGGCACATGCTGCGTGCGGGACGCATGTGCGCGAGCGGATTTAGGAGAGCACATGCACAACAGCATATGGGCGTGAACACGCATGCGCGAAAAGACATGCTTGTACGCACGCATACGTAAACTTACACACGAACATGCGCAATGTGAAAAACCAGTGGTACGGTGCACTAGGTCCGTTGCCATAATGCCGATGGTCATGGGCAAAGTCGTGAGAGTTTGGAATGGGCACCCTTCATACCCCAGGCACAGGGTGCATCAAGCAATGCAGGTTACCACCATGTGCAGACGGGTTGTGCGCGCGCCCTTGAGGAAAAGCGTGGGTCTGGAGCCTCCTGTGCCGCCTGGAATCCCCCGTCGAGCCGTCCAGAGCCGTTTCAAGAGCCCGGGCCCCCTTCTGGGGAGGAAGGGGCCCTGAGCGAGGGCACCAGGCTTTCGCCCCCCGGTGTGTGCATAGTAAATACATACCTATATACATACACGCGTACATACATACATACATGCATACATACATACATGCATGCATGCATACAGACGTACATACATGCATACGTACATACATAGGTAAACGAATGCACACATACATACAGACATGCATACGTACATACATACAGACAGACATATAGACAGACAGACAGACAGACACGCAGACATACAAACATACGTACATACATACATACATACCTACATACATACACACATACATAAATACATACATGCATGCATCCATACAGACAGACAGACGTGCATACATACATATCTATATACATGCATGCATATAGACATGCCTGCATACACATACAGTAATACATCCATACATCCATGCATACCTACATGTGTGAATGCATACATACATACACGCATGCACACATTCATCCATACATACATACACGCATACATGCATACATACATATATACACGCATACATGCCGGCCAACATGCATACATGCATGTATGCAATGTATACATTACACATGCACACGCGACTATATACGTGAATGCATGTATACACATGCATACAACCATGTGTGCATGCGTGTGTAGACATACATACATACACACACCTACATACATACATACATACATACATACATACATACATACATACATACATACATACACACACATACATGCATACATACATACATACATACATGCATACATACATACATACATACATACACATATGCATACAGACATGCAAGCAAACATATATAGACGTGTCTACATACCTACCCACCTACGGACATACATACATACAAACATACATACATACATCCGTACTTGCATACATACATATATACATACATACATACAAACAAACATACACCTACATGTACATGCATACATACATAGATATATGCATACAAACATACATACATACATACATACATACATACATAGATACATACATACATACATACAAACATACATATACACATACATACATGCATGCATGCATGCATATATACATACATACATACATACATACATACATACATACATGCATACATACGTACATACGTACATACGTACATACATACATACATTCAATGAGAGCCATGCATTCATGCATGCATGCATACATACATACACACATATATACATACATACATTTTACTGGTGTCTATTTCTAATAGACATACACCTTGCATATGCATGTATATGCCACCGTGCCGCTGGGCACGGGGTTGGCGTGTCCTCAAGTCCTTTGCCGAGTCTCTTGAGGCCCTGGGCTCAAATGGCCAAATGTCCCGGGACTTGGCGGCGCTTGTCGGGGGCTTCCCGCGTCTTGCCCCATGACTTTCACGGAGCCAACAGGGCCCAAACACGGGCCACCAGGGCCCCAAGAGGCCCCGAAGACGGTCCAAGAGGGCCCCGAGTCGCCGAACGATCGCTCCAAAACTCTCAGGATGGCCCCCAGATGGCCCAAGAGGCCTCCAAGACGCCCCAGGAGGCCTCCAAGAGGCCTCCCAAGAAGGTCCCAGGAGGCTGAAATCACTGATGTTCCATTGGTTTTGAATTTGATTTCGCGATGTCCTGCAGTGTTTGCATGTGTTTGGCGTTCTCGCATCTTCGGCTTCTTGCCGCTCCCAGGCTGCCCTGGAGGCGAGGAGGCCCAAGACGGCCCAGGAGGCCTCCAAGAGAGCCTCAAAACGGCCCAAGAGGGCCCCATGACGGCCCAAGAGGCGCCCAAGACGGCCCAAGAGGCCCCGAATACGATTCCAAGAGGGGGCCTTTCTTCGGCCTTCCCCAGGCTTGCCCAGGCCTTCCTTGGGGTTACCCCTGGGAGAAGGGCCTTCCCCCAGGCCTCCCTGGACGCTCCCAGGCCCTCCCTGAACCTCCCTGGACCTGCCCTCCCAGGCCTTCCCCAGGCTTCTCCTGGGAGGCTGGCCTGCCGAGGCCCTGCCTGGGCCTTCCTGGGCCTGTAGCCGACACGGCGTGCTCAGCGCGTGCCCGACACGGCAGCTAGAGCCGCCCCCGCAGGCCGGCGCCCGCGGGGACCTCCAGAGCGGCCGCCCCCGCAGGCCCGCGCCAGATGGGGGACCCGAATGGGTTTTCGGGCCATCGGCCCCCATAGGCCCCCAGGAGACCCCAGGATGCCCCCGAGAAGCCCCAAGAGGCAGGCCCACCAAGAGCCCCCCCCCCAAAAGAGGCCCACAGGAGGCTCCCGATAGGCCCCACAACTGCCCCCACGAGGCACCCGAGAGCGCTCCGAAGAGACCCCGAGAAGCAGCCCTGAGAACTCTGACCCACAACCCAGACACGGTGGCGGGACTGGCCGAAGGCCACTCGGGGTATGTATGTGAATATCTAGATTTATATATATATATATATATATATATATATATATACACATATATATATAGAGAGAGAGGTATGTACACAAGTGGTACGTGCGTTCCCAAGCTCATACAAACACATGTGCAGAATGTATGTGTGTTGTACTTAAGGATTGCGTTATGTATGTTGGCTGTGTGTTGAGTGCAGGTGTTGTGTGTGTGCTGTGTGAACTATGTGTGGGTCGTGTATGTTCTGCGTACCATGTGTGCTGTGTGTGAGCGTTGCGTTTGCGTTGCTTGTGTCGGGTGTGCTGTGTCTGCTGTGTGGGCGTGTGTGCGTGTGCGTGTGTTGTTCCTGTGTGGGTTATGTGCGTTGTATTGGTTGTGTGTTATGTGTATTGTGTGGTGTGTGTATGTTCTATGTGTTCTGCGCGCGTTGCACGTCAGGGCTCGATTCTGGCAGGGTGTCGCAGGCGAAGGTCTCTCTGTTCTAAGAATCGCGATGAAACAGGAGCTCGATGTATGGAGGATGCCGCAGGCGAAAATGCAATGTTCAAAGAGTCGGGCTCAATTTCATTAAATCCCACTGCCTTATTGAAGGTGGTATGATGCATGTGTTGAGAAATGCTGCGTATTTGGACAGTGCCGTCGCGATCTGCGTGAGGGGTGCCTCACATTTTCAGAGCTTGAAGATGTCCCAACGGAACGGCCAACACACATCTCGAACGGGACGGGAATTAATAGTTTCTGAGCTCTACTCCCTTGGAGAGGTGCCTATGAAGGTTTGAGTGTTCTCTCTCTCTCTCTCTCTCTCTCTCTCTATATATATATATGTATGTAGATGTGTACAGGATCCGCCACCGTGCCTCTGGGCACGGAGAAGGCGTGTCTTCAAATCCTTTGCACCATCCCCTGAGCCTCAGTCCTCAGACCTGAACAAATATGTTAGGGGCCCGGACCCCAAATTCTCAAATCCGTCGGGACTTCCCGCGGTTCCTCTGGGGCCCGTCGTGTGGTGGCTTGTGACTTGCTCGGGCCCCAGTCCCCAAGACGAGCCAACTGGGCCCCAAGAGGCCGCCAAAACAGTCCAACAGGGCCCTGACTGGCCAAAATATCGCTCCACGACGCTCAAGATGGGCCCAAGGCGGCCCAAGAGACCTCCCAGACGCCCACAGAGGCCTCCAAGAGGAGGCCTCCCAACATGGCCCCAAGAGGCCAAAATCGTCAACTGTGCTTAGGTTGTTGTAGAATTTGGACGTTCTCGCCTGTTCGCCTTTCCGACGCTCGACGACGGCTCAAGATGGTCCCAAGACCGTCCCAAGACTTCCCAAGAGGCCTCCCACCCTAAGACGGCCCAAGAGGGCCCCAAGACAGCCCAAGAGGCGCCCAAAACGGCCCAGGAGTGCCCTAAGAGGGCCCCAAAGGGGGCCCAGCAGAAGGAACACGAAGCGAACATCCTGGCCTTCCGCCCCCAAAGGCCCCCAGGAAGCCCCAAGAGGCCCCAAAGAGGCCGCTAAGAGGCCCCCAGGAGGCCCAATAAAAGGCCCAAGAGGCCCCCGAACGGCCCCCAAGAGGCGTCCAAACTGCCTTCAAGAGGCACCCGAGAAGCCTCCCACGAGATCCCAACGACCATCAAATAGGCTTCATACCCACAACCCAGGCACGGTGGCGGAATAGGCAGAAGGCAATTCTAGACATCATCATGCACACCCCTCCGAGGGAGTAAAGCTCAGAGGCGAGTAATTGAAGGTCCAACTCGCTATTTGTTTGGCTGGCTCGCTCGGGACATCCTCGAAATTACAAACGATTGCACCCCCAATGCAGATCGCGACGACACCATCCAAAAACCAAAGGTCGCTCGCTGAAAGAAACAGCCGTTTCGCGCGAGACAGTCACGAAAAATGAAACCCGACGTGTTCAAAGGTGTCCTCGAATTCTTCAGAACGACGTTGTTGATCGAGCTATCCTCCAACAACTGGCTTCATAATTTCCTTTCAACTGCTGTCGCTAGGTGTGGGACAAAATCCTGCGCCACACACACATGGCAAGGTGTGGTAACCCCACCTGAGTTCGACTTCGATCCTGCTGTTGTATCTCCTTCCCAACAGCCACCTGCTGATCATTATGGTCCTCATGCTCTCAGTTTTCCCCTCGCTGCTCCATCTCCTTCCTCCTCCTCCTCCTCATCCTCCTCCTCCTCCTCGGATCCGAACTCAGTTTCCTCTTCTTGCCCATGTTCTACTATGCTTACGTGCTGCACTTCGTTTTGTATCAGCCTGGGCACGCACGTGCCACTGGCATGTGCCTGCTCCTTCGGGTTTCGCGGGGCCTGTTCACACCCAGGAGGGTGGCCTGGTTGGGCCGAGATACCATGGCCCGTGGGAGATGGAGATATGATGGCCGATGCCGAGTCGACACCTCGGGGATCTGCTGAGCCGTGTCGATGTAAACCCGAGTCAGTCAGGCTTGGCAGGATCCTGCAAAATCCTGCAGAACGCTGAAGGAACCTGTGTGCTAGCCTGGGTGAATGCACCCCTGGCTCTGCAGGGTCCTGCGAGATGCGGCGCTCTGGCGGACCCACGCTTACATTGACCCCAGTCCCAAGGCTCCCGAATGCCTCACAACCTCACAACGAACAAAACATTGCCCAGGGCCATTCGCCAATGAGTGACGGGGTGTCTGTACCACACAGCACATGCTCATAAGGGGGGGCGCAAGGACGGCTGCTGAAGACGATTGGGGTCTCCCCCCCAGGGCTCAGCAGGCCTCTCCTTTTGCTCTCCGCACCGGGGCCCCCCGAGCGGGGGGGGGCGGGGCGGGACGGGCGAGCCTGTGCCGGCTGATGGACGACCGCGTGCGGGAGCGCCGCGCCTGGGCGGCGGCCCGGCGGTGAGGGCGCGCCGCGTCCGCGGGGTGACGGCCAGCGCTCCCCGTGCAGGCGCGCGCCGTGCTCGTGCGGGGGCTCTCGCGGGCGGGGGCGCGGAGGGCCGCGAGGTGCGGCGAGGCGGCATCTTCGGGGCGGGGCGGCATCGTCGAGGCAGGTCTCTTGCCCTCGGGAGCATCCACGTGCTTGGGCGTTGGCCATGCAGCCCGTGCGCGTGCTGCTCGCAGCACGAGCCCAGGTGCACACGGAGCGCGACGTCGAGACAGCGAGGGCGGCAGGCGCGCAGGCGGGGAGAGGGCGGGAGGGTGCGGCGGGGTGCCAGTCAGCAGCGAGGCCTCGGGCGGTCACGTAGCATCCTTAAAACGACGCGAAGATCGGGACAAAATCGGATCGGGATAACTCGAAATCTCTGAGAATCGGCGGGTTTGGAGGATGTATTGGGCGCCGCGGCCGCTCCGGAGCGTTCCGCAACGCTCTGAGAGCGCTCCGGAACGCTCTGGAGCGATTTATCCCGATCCTAGCCCTGCTTTATGGGGGGGGGGGCCTCCCGATGGCCATCCGCTGCCGGCTCCGAGGGGTGGGGGGCAGCCAGCGCGCTGCCCGAGGCCCCGGGGCCCGCAGGCAGGAGGCCGGCGCCCAGACGCCCCATCTCCGCCTCGCGGCGCGGTGAGGTAAAGGAGAGGAAGGATGAGCGGAGGAGGCAGAGGAGGGAGGGGAAGGAGGAGGGATGAGCGAAGGGAGGAGGAGGAGGAGGAGGGAGGGGAAGGAGGAGGTAAAGAAGAGACAGGATGAGCGGAAGAGGAGGATGAGGAGGGAGGGGAAGGAGGAGGGAAGGGGGACAAGAGGAGAAGGGGGAGGCGGAGCAGGAGCAGGGGCGGGGGGGGGGAGCCTTCTGGTGCCGCTCGCTGGACTACCTGGACTACCTGGCCTGACGGCTGCTGGACCACTGGCGGCACTCAACCTGCAACGCTGGCGTTGGGGGTCGCCGCCGCGTCGACACAAACGAACCTGCACTCCGATGCAGTCTGGCCGCCTCCTGGACCCCAGGGGGCGGCGAGAGACAGGGAGGAGCAGCAGGAGAGAAAGGAACACAGGGAGGAGGGGGAGAGAGAGAGAGAGAGAGAGAGAGAGAAAGAAAGAGAGGATGACAAGCTAGGTGCGCTCGCGTCATATCTGCCGTCCTATTCCTCCCTCCCATCCCTTGTCATGGCGTTGAGTTCCTCTCTATTCGCGCAGTCGGATGTCGAGCAGAACAGTGATCCCGAGAGGGTACGCGATGCATGGTAGAGCACGGCATAGAGTTGCGTGGAAGAGCACGGCAGAGCGTAGCATATCAGAGCAGGGCGTGGCATTGAGTGGTGACTCGTTACATCAGAGAGCATTGAAACGCAAAGCACGGCATCGGAGAGCAGCAGCACAGAACACAACGCCGCAGTGCATGTAATGGCACGGCACGTGGAGGAAGAGTGGATCGTGGAGGAGGAAGAGTGGATGGTCTAGGTACGGAGGAAGAGTGGAGGAAGAGTGGATCGTCTAGGAGGAAGAGTGAGGCATGGCCGCCGCGGTTCCCTGGAGGAAATTTGGATCGTCTAGGTACGGTTTGGGCGTGCTGGAGCTGCCCATTCACTGGTGACCCGCGCGGGTCACCGGTGACCCTCCCACGTCCGCCCCTGGCTCTCGGAAGAAGAGCGGGTCGTTGGGGGCATTCGCTTGGGTAGATACGTGGGTGCGCCCGAAGTGCGGAGCTGAAGGTACATATGAATCGCCTGTCTGAAGGACCGACGAGATCCGGAGTCGACGTCGCAAGAGCAAGCACAGCTAGTGCAAAGCATGGGTGTAAGAGTATCAGATGCGGAGGGAGAGCGAAAGCGTCGGATTGGAACAAAGCTTTGTAAAGACCAAAAACTGAAATCCTGTGTGTGTGTGTGAAAAACAATACGCAGAGGGGCTGTGACTGCCCTGACGCACCGTGGCAGAATCCCGCTCGTTCCTCCCCTCGCTCTTCGAGGTTCGACTGGTCGATGGCCCGCGTCCCCCTCGGCACCCCCCGGCTCCCTGCCCGCACGCCCGGGCACGCTTCGCCCATGGTGCTGATCCCACCTTTTCAGTACATCGAACTGCACTCCAGAAAGGGGACCGCCAGGCCCCCTTCTCATGAACAAAAAAGGTTACAGGAAAAGAGTATCAAGGCTCTGGGCTAAGCTCCTAAAGGCCTCTAGAGCTTCTAAGGGTCTCGAGATGCCTCTAGATTCACAGTGCTGATCCCACCTCGTCCTCCCCAGTCATTGGATGCAGCTCGGCCTCCGCTCTTGGCCCTCCTGAAGGGAAACGTCGTGGGGCCTCCGAGGTCCAAGGGGCCCCCCGGGAACCCTGGAGGACTCCGAGGGCCCGGTTCCCTTGGGACCTGCTTCATCGTGCCAACGGTGGCACAGAGAGGACTGCCGCGAGGACGAGAAGTGCAAATGCGAGGAAAAGGGGTGGGACGATGAACGGCGGTGATGAGGGGGAGGGAGAGGAGGAGGTCGAGGCGGGCAGAGAGGGGGGGGGAAGGCTGAGGGAACAGGAGGGAGACGAGCGGGAGAGCGAGGGGGAGGAAAGCCCCTGTAGCCACCCAGGACGCGAATGAATTATGTAAAACGATCTGGAGTCCATCCTCCTGTTCCTTCTTATCCCTTTCTTCGCTCCTCCTCCACACAAGGGGGAGAAACAGGAGCCCCACTCGAGGCCAGCAAACGGGGCCGAAGATCAGAGGGCGTCGGTCAAGCGCCCCGAGCGGAGCAGACAGTCGTCTAGACTGCCCTGGGGGGAATCAAACTGGCTGCCCATGTTGTTATGAGCAGCCGACTTGGAGATGTTGTTATGAGCAGCCGACTTGGAGCACTGGGTACACAACTCAAAGGCACCTTTCGAGATCTTCAGCGACCCCTCAATCTGGTCATGCTCGTTCAGCGCCCCCCCTCGAGACCATCGAACATTGAAGTGCTACAGGCGATATCCCAGGTTCTCTCTGAACAGGTGCAGACAGCTTCAATTTCGAAGAAGCGTCCCTCCTCCGAAGTAGTGCATCCCCCGAGCTGTGTTGTGCTACCAGTTCAGCAAGTTCTCAAACCCCTGCCTCGAGCTCTTACGAGTCCCCCTCTCTTACCGAAGCTGGGGCCCCTCCTCCTTCACCTCCCTCTCATCCTCGTCCTCTGTCGCCTCTCCTCATACGCTTCCAGCCCCTCGTTCACACTCCTCCTCCTCCTCCTCCTCCTCCTCCCTCCTCTTCCTCCTCTCCTCCTCCTCCTCCTCCTCCTCCTCCCCTCCTCCTCCTCCTCCTCCTCCTCCTCCTCCTCCTCCTCCTCCTCCTCCTCCTCCTCCTCCTCCTCCTCCTCCTCCTCCTCCTCCTCCTCCCCCCCCACGTCCTCCCCCTTCTCCTGCTGACCAGTATGTGGGAAGGCTTGTCTCGTGTCCCTTACCTGTGCCTCCCTCTCCTCCACCTCCTCCTCCTCTCCCTGCGTGGTCTTGCAGACCACCCCCTAAGCATTTCCCTCCCACTCCGTTAGCGTTCTCCCCTCCACTCCACATCCTCTACCCCTCCTCCTCATCCTCTCCCACTCCCCCCTCGGCGTTCCTCCCCCCCTTCTCCACCCGCCCCGCCTCCCCTCGCCACCGAGCAACAGAAACTGGCAGGCGGACGCCCGCAGGAGAGGGGAGGCGGGCCTTCTTGGTGGCGTCGGCGGCGCGCCGCTTGGCGGCCGCCGCCTTCGAGGGGCAAAGTGTGACGATGTCGAGGAAAGGAGGGAGAAAATGAGGAGGAGGAGGAGGGAGGGAGGAGGTGAGGAAGCACACGTGAGGAGAAAGGAGGAGAGGCGGAGGAGGAGGAGGAGGAGGAGGAGGAGGAGGAGGAGGAGGAGGAGGGGCAGGGGGAAGGAGACGGAGGGAGAAAGGATGCGGAAGGCGAAGGCGAATGCGGAAGCCAGGAGTAACAAAGAGGAGGGAGGGGAGACGAGGGTAGACGGGGGGGAAGGGGGCCAAGGCCTGACGCTGTCCTCTTCCCCCCTGCACGCCTGTGCAAAGACAATGGTACAGTATCCGTCTTTGTCTCGTACCTCCTTGGTTGATGCATTGAGCTCCCCGTGCCCTTGGTTTGCGATCGATCAAGCAAGAAGAGGAAGAGAGAAAGAGAGAGAGAGAGAAGACCAAGAAGAGAAAGTGGGGGGAAGGTGAAAACGAGAAGGAGGATAAGCATAGCAAGGAGGAAGAGGAACGGGAGGAGGTTGGGAGCCCAAGGAGGACGCACGCGCCCAAGCACCTACATGAACACAACCCCCGAATCCGCGAGACTGGCCGCGCGATACGTACGAGAGTTCACGCAATACGTACTCTCGAGAACAACGTGGATTCATGTGCGTGCACCTCCTTCTTTCGCTCCTGAGGGGGGTGGAGGAGGATGATGATGAGTGTGGCAGCAGTGTGGCAGGAGGAGGCATACATACACACACACATACATACATACATACATACACACATACATACATACATACACACATACATACATACATACATAGCGTTGCACTCCGCCCTTTTTTCATCCAGGCCAGCAGCGATATGTCGTGGCGACAGACCTTCGCCCTGAGAAGACTGGGGCAAGCGACCCATAAAACACAACCCTCTGGACCGGTCTCAGAGATACTAAACTCCAGAAAAAGTTACAGGGGATCATAGGCGGGGCGGGCGGGCTCTGGGAGCCTTGGGCCCAAACGGGTAAGGACATGGAAAACGAGAGTCATCCTCACGGATTCAACGGCCATCCTGACCGGCCTCTGCTCAAAGCTAAAACGATACCAAGGTGATCTACCAAGCGTTGCACTCCGCCCTTTTTCATCCAGGCCAGCAGCGATATGTCGTGGCGACAGACCTTCGCCCTGAGAAGACTGGAGCAAACGACTCATAAAACACAACCCTCTGGACCGGTCTCAGAGATACTAAACTCCCGATTTGCCGTAGTTACAACTGGAGGCATCGGATTAAAGGTCACAGTAGCCATATATTTTAATTGCAGCCAGGGCGTCTTTAAAGCTATGTGCTAGAGCATTACACAAGGCAAGAGGGTAAGTAAGGCTCGGCAACTAAAGTTCGGAAAATACAATTAGTCTTTCCGGACAACTAAACGTGGGGCTTATTACTGTAGCTACAAATGCCGCGGCCAGTGCAGAGGCGAGAGCATCTGGACAAATCTACGTGCACGTTCACGATTCTAGTTCGTTTGCGCCACGGCATATCGAAACCACAAAAATCGGTTCGGATGCTATGCACGGGGCTGAGGCGGCTGGCGGAAGCCACTGGTGGGCACAACCACATCCTGCTGGTCGAGGGATTCTCCAACGCACATGGTACGATGAGACGAGCACAGAGCCTCAAAACGGATGCCGAGAAAGTCATGAGCACGTTTCCGATTCGAACTTCCTCACGATCCACGGCTGAGAGATCGGGGAGCCCCAGAGGTTCAGAATCGCTTCTTAGACGAGGAGGTCCGCCACCCCGATCGCGGGCACGAGAAAAACTCGAACATGGGGTCCCCGTCCAGACTGCAATAACCTGTGACGCCAGCAACCATCCTCGCACACGTTTTTGCACCTTCGGTAACGTCAAATCAGATTGCTCACCATGGCGAATGTCGAATTCAATAATAGGCAATCCCACATGCCGTCTCCAAGCAGCTGAGAAATTTCCAGTACCTGAAAATAGCTCTATAGCGAACCGCACCTGAATGTGATTGGCCCTCAAGAGCGGCAGGACCTGCTCATGATGGCGCCAATCTCGGAGACGCACCTTGCCGCGCCTTGCCAATCTCGGAGAGCGCCGCGCGGCAGGAAGCGCAACTGCTCCATCAGGTGGCCTGCCTTCTGGTAGCGACGCATCGAGCTCGACTGGGCCCACCCGCCGCGGTGCTGCATGCCTAGCGGGCCCTGGCGGCCGAGGCTGATGACGAGGCTGGCGCCCGCAGGGTAGAGGAGCACCGTCCACCTTGAGTGGTCCTTGACTCCGCTTGGCAGCGGCGGCACCCGCCAGCCGCGGCGCAGACTGAGGGCCTTGCACGGCTTCAGGTAGAGCACCACGTACATCAGCATTGCTTCCGCCATGGGCCACCGGTCGCCGCGGACCGGCCAGTCGCTCAACAGGCTGGAGCCCGCCCCCTCGATCCACAGGTAGTCGAAGAAGTCCCCGAGCGCGTCGTCGACTTGCTTCTCCGACTGGAGAGGGAGGAGGTGGAACCGTGCCCACTCCTCGAAGCTCTCCCAGCTCTCCGGGTACAGCTGCTGGGTGCGCGGCCGGACGTTGGTCGCCTGGAGGGAACTCAGCCTCGCCAGCTCCGGAGCCCTCGTAGCAGCCGAGCCCCGGCGGGCAACCGCGCGAGCAGCGGCATGTCGGGCCCGCGGCTGCGCCCGGCGCTGCGTCGGCACCAGCGGCCCGACCCCCTCCAGCGCGTGGCCCCTCGGCAGGGCCGCGGCAAGCGTCGATCCCCTCATGCCCCGAAGAGCCGGGTCTCGCGCTCGCGGCCTGCCAGCGTGGGCCCACGCAATCCGGGGCACCTTGGGCAGCGGCTGTGCTGCCGCCCCGTGGACCCTGGCCGGGGTCGGGGCACGCGGCAGCGCCGCCAGCTCCACGCCTGGCGACGGCGGCCGGCGGCAGCAGCCCCCTCCGCGAGGGAGCATCAGCAGGATTCCCCTCGCTCGAGATCCACCTCAGGTAGACGGAACATCCCGACACCAGCGCCAGAGCAGCCCAGCGCCGGACAACTCGGAGCATCCCGGGCGCGGACGTTCGGCCCTTGCTCAGAGCCAGAACAGCCGACATCGAGTCGCTGAGGATGAGAACACGCTTATGCCATGTCTGACTGTTCCGTAGCATGTGTCGAAGTCCCCACAAGGCAGCTCTGGTCTCCAGAACAGGAATACTCTCAAGACGATCCCAAGCTTGCGACCTCACTGTCCTCCAAGGGCCTCCGACAAGGGATCGAGGCACGAGGTCGACCCCCCGCTCCAGCCGGGCGCAGACGTCCACGCCCTCCGGCACGTTAGCGTTCCCTGCCTTCTCCCCCGTCACCTTCGCCTCCTCGATCCGCTCCCGGGCCTGCTCACGGGCCCCTTCTCCACCCTCCTTGAACCCCCAGGCCTCTGAAAAGCTCATGGCGTGCTTCACGTCGGCCTCCAGGCCCACGGTCTCCGTCACCCCCAGACCCCACTCAGAGGCGTCAGTGGCCAGGACACGCGTGTAGATGGGGGCGCACAGGTCCCGGGAGCAGAAGCAGATAAGACACGAAGCCCACCGCAACTCACGTCGAACCACATCCCAGACTCCGACGCTCTCCCCACGATGGCGCCCGATGAAGGCGTACGCCCCGCTGAACACCGACAGGAGCTCCCGATGAAGAAGAAACAGATGAGTGCAGTGGCCCACAAGAACCTCGACTTGCTTCCCGCTCAGGCAGCGCAGACGCGAAGCGCGTTGAAGTGCAAGTCGAAGACGCCACACCCTTCTCTCTTTTCCGATCACCAGGGGGCGGTCACTTGAGAACATCCAGCCGAGAGCTTCGCCTCCTGGCCCTGCCTCAACAGGATGAGCTCGCAGGCCCACACGCTCGAGCTCGGCCGCAACTCCTTCGGCCGCTGACCGAGCCTTTCCTGCAGACTGAGAGAAGGCCACGAAGTTGTCAACATACGCTGCGTGTGCAACTGGTCGTAGGTCAGGGGGGGGGGGGCACGGTGATCCTGGACGCGGGAGTCGTTGCTGAGGCCCGGGACCCGATTACACGCAGCTTCCAGACCTCTCTGACACCAGTTGAGGGCATGCAACCAACCCATCGCCAGCACCTTCAGCCTTGGGAAGATCCACGTGTTCGGTCCTACGGAGGCCCCCTCTACAGTACAGGTGACACCTACGCGTCCCGCCCGAACCTTCCCGAGACCAAAGTAGGGCCTGAGGGGCTCGGGCAGGGCCATCTGGTAAAAAGCATCCTGAATGTCGGTTTGGCCCAACTCAAGGGCCAGGTCGGCCGCGGCAAACAAACGTGAAAAAGAATCCCCCGCAAGACGAGTTTTCGGCGGATCCTTAAACCAACAGTTAGACCTACGGGCGTCGATGATTAAACGCTGGGTCCTGTTTTTCTTCCAGACCGAAAAAAGGCCACACTGCTCTTTTACTTCTAAACCGAATTCAAGCATTCCACGTTGAGCTAGAGCCCGGATGACACGCTCGTACTCACGAGGACGGTGGAGGAGAGGATCGAGGTAGGGGCGCTGAGGGACCCCGTTCGAGCTCAAACGCTCGCCCGCCTGATCCTCTGGCAAGAGGTAGTCTTCAACAAACTTCTGAACTTCATCGCGGCCATTCTCGACAAGACCCCCCAGGTCCTGGGGCATCCCAGCAGCAGGAAGGCTGAGAAGGTCAAGGTTCAGAGGAGCCACAGAAACAGGGGACCCCTGATAGCTGTGGGACGCCTGGAGCTCTCGAAAGGCTCCCCGGCAGGTGAGGTCGGCGGGAGGCTTTCCCCACCGGGCCACGCACTCACGAACGTGCGTCAGCCCGAGGTCGTGCACAAGAGGCCTGAATTGCGCCGGCGAGGCCTTATCGGTGCCGACACCGACAGGCTCACTGGCGGGGGTGTCCTGGTAGCCACCGAGCTCGTTGAGCGCCCGCGCCACGTCGGACTCCCAGTCGGAACGGTGCTCTCTGGCCTCCACACGTCGTCGTACGGATCGCGACAGAGACTCCCAGCCCTCAGCACGCCGAACGCGCTCATGAACAGCCAAGGGAAGAGCATCGCGCTGGGCCACAAAACTCGCAAGACCACCATGATCGCGCTCCCCCTCATGTGTGAAGGCCAGCAGGGTGGGGTCGCCCTCTGGCCTCGGCTCATCACGCGCCATCCTTGCGCGAGAGTTTGTTCTCCTCCCGCGCCTTCTTCATCTGCCCGGTAACCCAGACGTCTCGGCCGATCTCTTTCGAAACCCATTTCACCAACCCGGGGCAGTTCGTCACCTCCCCGCCTAAGCGGTCCGAGTCGGATAAGCAGGCCGCCTCGTCGCGGGTCACCCCCTGCGCCAGCTTGTTCGCCTTGCTGCCTTTGTTCGCCTTCTCGTAGTGAAAATCTATCACCTGGCACCGCCTCATGATCACCTCGAGCCTGACCCGATTTGGAAAGTCAATCTGGCTGTACTCCCCGAAGAACTTGAAGGCCTGCATCTCGTGACCATGCTCCTGATCTCTGAAGTACGTGCTGGACACCTTCAGGTTGGCCATCCACCCGCGGTGGTGGTCCATGGGATCGTCCCCGCGGCGGTCCACGAACTGTACGCACCAGAGCACCGTACGCGGCCTCGGCTCGGGCCAGTCCTCCAACTCGACCTGCTTCACCTTCCCCGACACCTCGCGCCACACTTGCTGCCTGACCCCCTGGCTGTCGCACTGTGCGCCCGCCACGCCGGCGTCCGAGCTCGAAGCCGAAGGTCCCTTCACACCAACGTAGTCCGACGGCGTCTCGTCCATGCGCAGGCGCTCCACGAAGACCCTCTCGGCCGAGCAGGGAGCTGGCTCCAGCTCCATCCGCCCGTCGGGCGAGATCAGCGCGTCCGACGGCATCGCCACATCGTCGCCGACTGTGACCCCCAGGAACCCGTTGGCCACGACGATCACCCAGCGGCCCTCGGGCGCGGCGGGCGCACGAACCACACGGTCGCGCTCCCTCGGGGTGAGAGTCCCACGGACCTTCCCCGCCGCGCCTACGTCGACGACCGGGCCAGGCACGGGCTCGACGCCGAGGTCTCCGCCGTCAGCACCGCCAGGTGGGTCAACCACCGGGCCGCGGCGACACTCCTCCGAGCTGGTCACGCAGTCGGTCTCGTCCAGCAACCTCTCCCACCGTCGTCCCTGGGGGAAAGTTCCAAACTTGTAGGTGCTCTCAACGCCGACCTCAATCGGCACGCCCCTCAGCACCGCCTCCCACGCCGCCGTCACTGTGTCCAGCTTCCGGTAGGGCTGCAAATCCACGAAAGGCACCCACCAGCTGCACGACACCACGTTACACGAGCACTCTTCGCCTGCCTCGCAGGCCGAACACGAGGGCGCCCGAGGACACTGGGTCGCGTGGCACGTCGGGCGCCGCAGGTCAGGGCGGTGCAGATTTGGACAGGGAAGGATCGCCGGGCACGAGAGGGTCGGGCAGCTCGGCACCGGCGAGCACCGAAACAGCCAACCGTGAGTCGCCTGTGAAATACTGGCGACGACTGTGACCAGCAGCTCCGATGCCATCCGTCGCGCGTCAGAAGGCGCGCTCAGAGCCTTGAGCCCAAACGGGTAAGGACATGGAGAACGAGAGTCATCCTCACGGATTCAACGGCCATCCTGATCGGCCTCTGCTCAGAGCTAAAACGATACCAAGGTGATCTACCAATACATATATATATATATACACACATACATATAAGAGCAGGAAGAGGACGAGGAGGAAGAGACAGACGCATGTGGAGGAGCGTGGAGGAACACGGAAGAGCGAGGAGGAACGAGGATGAAGCGGATCGAGCTCAGGCCGTGGTGGCTCCCGCGCACATGCCCGCACCCCCCGTGGGCGGCCCCCGCCTGGCGGAGGGGCTAGCGGCGCCGCCCGAGGCGGACGAGAGCCGAGCCTCACTCCCAGGCGAGCTGGCCCGACGAGGTTCCTGCCAGGCGGCTGCCAGCCGCACACCCCGCGGCCACGCCCAGCCCCAGGCCCAGGGCTGGGGCACACTTTTTTTCGTCAGCAGCGAGGCGGCGAACTCCGCTCCAGCGAGGAGCTGGATAATTAGGGGCACCACCTAGCGAATTGGCCGGCGAGCATAAAGAGGGAGGAGGGGACGAGGGCTGGGGCACACACTCCCTCCTGGCCTGGCCGAGAGGACGTGTATTCACCGATCCCGGGCCCAGGATTGGCGCGGGCTGGAGCCGGTGCTGGTGTGCGGCTGGGGGGCCCCGACCTGCGGCTTGCCTAAGGCAGCCCACCGCAAGGCCGACTCCTTCCCCGGGTGAGGCAGTTCGTCCCACAGCAGTGATTGATCGCCGGGAGGCCCCACGCCCCACGACGGGCTCCAAGGGGCCGAAATCGAGGGAACACCCCCAGACAACAAGTTTGACGCCGCAAGGGATACCGAAACCATTGGCAAGATGCCCAAACATCAAATGTTGTCCAAAAGCGACAGCGGCCGCTGTTGGGAGGTCGGCCTTCTGTCTGAAATGGTCAACGTCCGCGGCGATGCCGACAGCGAACCTTGTTAAAGATGGACATGACCTGCTGCCTTGGAGGCTTGGGCATGGGCACCAAAACCAATCCTACTGGTGGGAAGTCGCCCCTACTGGGGGAAGATAATCCTAGATTCTGGCACTCGTGACAATATTTCGGTCACCCAGGACGCCCGAAGATTTTGGTGGAGGAGGTGGGAACACATCGCCGATTTTGGTGCCAATCTTTATCACCGTTCTCACTTTCCGAGCGGGGTGCGGCCAGCGAAAGTGGCCAAGGATGGACCGAAGGGGAAGGATGCAAGGGCAACCTTGGAAAATTGCTCATCCTTACTGTGCGCTCTGCCTGTAGCCGCTTTCTGGGAAACCAAGAGGTACCGGTACTCATACAGCTACGCCCCCAACGTCTCCAGGGGTATGTTGTGACCAGAATTTCGAGGCGAATCCAGCGGTGGCGACGATGGCCTCCCAGGAGGGTTCAAAGAGGCGAAAACGAGGCAAGGGCAGAAGAGCCCAGGATCGAATTGATAAGCTGGATCGGGGATCGAAATTAATCGGATCGGCGGAAATCGACAACCGAGTCGGGAGAAGTCGAATCGGCGGAAATCGGCAGGCCAGTGGGCCTCCAGTGAGAAATCTCAGGCCAAATTGGAATCCCAAACCGAATCGAATCGGAATGGGAAGCCATCGAAGTCGCATCGAATCGAATCAGAGGAATCGAAACGAGACCAGCAAATGTGGCGGTATGGGCACTCCAAATCCCTTATTAATCGCCCCCCCCTAAAAAACCGGACACCCCCCTCCAAATGCGACCTAATATTCCGGACCCGTCTCTCTTCCGACGGGACCTTACTAAACCGGACCCCCTAAGCTTCAATCCAAAGAAATCGCCCTAATAAACCGCACCCCCGATTTCAAAAAAGGCACCTTAAAAAACCGGACACGGGGGACGATTGATAAGGGATTTGGAATACCCTTTCCTCCTCTGAGTTCCGATCAGGCCGAAGCAAGCAGCACAGCGATGGAGATCCGGGTTGCTCGGGGGCGCGTCTGCCCCGGGCGCGTCTGCCCCCGCCCCGGGGGCCGCTCGCCTCCTCCTCGGCCTTCTTGCGGGCGGCCTGCGGGGGCGCTCACGTCGCTTACTGGGGGGGGGGGGGGGGGCGATAAATTGGGGGGGGGGAGAAAGTTGCTCTTCTCAGGCCCCAACGACCCCCTCTTGGGTCCTGAAAGCCCACTGTCGGGGACCCCGAAGGGTGCACCGCTGGGGCCCTGAAAGGCGCCCTCTGGGGTCTGCAGCCCTCGCTGCCATCCATTTACCGCCCCGCCCGAGGAGGAGGAGGAGGAGGAGGAGGAGGAGGAGGAGGAGGAGGAGGAGAAGGAAGAGAAGGGGGAGAGGGGAGGAGGAGAAGGAGGCGGAGGAGGAAGAAGAGGCGGAGGGAGCGGGGAGGGGGAGGAGGAGTAGGAGGAGGAGGAGAAGGAGGAGGAAGAGGAGGAGGAGGGTGCGGAGGAAGAGGACCACGCTGCATCGGCCGAGTCGTGCAACCAGGGGGATGGGAGCACGGGCCGAACGCATCAAAACTTAGACGGGCTTATTCCCCGTCTTGGGATGCTTCCCCGCTCTGACACCACGAATGTTATACCGTTGCCGATACAGAACAGAGCTCTCTTGCGAAGGCCGTTTACAGACCCCGTCAGGGTTACAATTAGCAGCCTGGAAAGACGCCTGATAGGAGCCACACAGGGTGCACACCATGGCACCGTGAGTCACCAAAACCTGGTGCCCACGCAGAGAAACGATCACGTCGGCGGGAGCCGTTAAGGCCAACTTGGGGGCCCTACCAGATGAATGTCTAATCGCACGGCACGGACGGTCACTGTCCCCATGACAACTCGCGATCCTCGAAGACACCCAAGAGAAGAACCTAGCCCGAAGCTTGGCGTCCGCCATGAGCCCCTCGTAGTGCATCTCAAGAACCTTCGGATAGGGACCCGCTACTTTGAGGGCGCTGATCCCAGCGCAGACGGACGGCATACCCTTTGCGTTGGCCACCGAGGAAGTCCTTTGGAGCTACCACAGCGGGCGCGCGTCGCTGGCGGGAGCCGCTTGCATCTGCACCGACGGCCCGGCGCTGCACGGCAAGGCTGCCTCAGCCGAGTTGCGCGCGTGCCGGGGCATCGCCGCACTCCACGTCCGCGGGGAAGCGCGCGGCGCCTGGGGATGCGTCCCCGCCCACCTCCCCCAGGACGCCAAAACGGGCGAGCTAGCCGGCGGCACGGGCCCTCGCATGGGGGCTCCCAGTGGCCGAGGGAGTCCTCGAGATCAGGACCGACTGCAAGCTCCTCGCCACGGACTTCGCAGCAAGCAGAACCTGGTGCTGCGACTGGGATCGCCCGTGCCAGGAGATATGGCAGGAGTTCGGCAGGAGTCTGGCAGGAGATCCGCCCTTGGTGGACGACATTGGCGGATCCTCGCTCGAGCGAGCCACCAGGGTAAAAGGACGCGCAACGCTTCGCCCAGCACACGATGGTACCACCAGGATGGACGGTAACGAGGGCATTAGGGCGGCGGACACGTTCGCCAAGAGCAGTGCCGCCTCGCACCCCATGGACGGGCAGCGGTGGCAAGAGCAGCCCTTGCCGACGACATCGCAGTCTCGTTGGCAAGATGGGTCGGCGAGGCAGCGAAGATTGGCAGCAGCCTCCTGACGGCAGCCGACGGCGACGGTGCATGGGCGGGTGCGGCAAGCACGGTGCCGCGCGCTGCCAAGGCGGCGCCGAGTGTGTGTGTGGGTGTGTGTGGGTGTGTCTGTATGTTTATGTCATTGTATGTGTTGTGTGTGTTTGACAATCCGTATACAACAATGTATATATAATGTATGTGGGTATGCACATATCTATATGTATATATATATATACATATGCATACATACATTATATGACACATACGGCCACGCAAAATGACAGATATCACATAGTATGGAAAACTGCCGTCCCGAATTGTTTTGTGACGCCTGGATCTGAAGGACGTATTCGGGGGGCCTCCTCTGCCGCCCTCTTCTTGTCGGCCTCCTCCGCCCTCTTGATGGCCTCCGCGGCGGAAGTGGGCAAGGGAGCCAGGGCGGACCCCCGCTTGCCGCAGTGGGGGAGCGCAGCTGCGACGGGAGGTCGAGTGGGGAGCAGACTCCGCAGATAGCGTGTTGCTAGAAGTGCCCCTGGCCCAAGGTGCCCCCAGGATTTCCAGGGAGGCCACTTAGGCCTCGAGAGCACAGCTTACGAGGCCCAGACGCTCTCAGGGGCTCCAGAATGGAGCGAACAGCTGGGGGCACCTTGGGCCAGGGGCACCTCCAGCAACCCCCGAGCAGACTGCACATGTACATTGCCGCTGGGCCTGGCCAGGGCCATCCTTCCTGCCCCCCAGCCACGGCCAGGAAGCGCACACACCGTGCCAGGGCCCAGGGGCGGTCCTGGCCAGGCACGGTGGTGGTGGTGGCGCATAAGTGCCTCAAACGCACAAGGGGATTGGGGGAGGTTTGATCCCCGCCGCTCGAAGACTCAGGGTGGAAGATTCTGGGCGTTTCCAGGAAGCGTCTGCCAGTCTTTAAATGAGCCTCGGGGCCCTCCAGGGGAGGGGGGGGGTGAATTTGCCCTCTGCACTCGAGGATCAAGGGTGGATCTGGACGTTTCTCGGGATCTTCTCGCCCTATTGGGCCCCGGGGCCGGGGATCTGCGACGGCAATACTACCAGAGTGAGAATAAGGAAAAGGCGTGGGATTGGGGAAGGAAGGATAGCAGGAGTGAGGAGCTGCGCTGTCAGGTGGCTGTCGGCTCCCTCCCGAGGCGTCTCAACAGCGTCCTCGCAGAGACATCGCGGCTTCTCCCCAAGGCCACGAAACATGTTGTTCCTCCGCCCTCCTCCACTCCGTTCTCATCCTATCATTGCGCCTTCTTCACCTTCTGCTATCACTACTACCACTGCTACTACTACTGCTGCTACTACTATTTCTGCTGCTACTACGACTACTGCGACTACTACGACAACTACGATTACTACGACTACTACTACTACTACTACTACTACTACTACTGCTACTACGACTACGACTACTACTACTACTACTACTACTACTACTACCACTACTACTACCACTACTACTACTACTACTACTACTACTACTACTACTACGAATACGACTACGACTACGACTACGACTACTACTACTACTGCTACTACTACTACGAATACTACGACTACTACTACGACGACTACTACTACTACTACTACCACTACTACTACTACTACTACTACTACCACTACTACTACTACTACGACGACGGCGACGACGACGACGACGACTACTACTACTACTACTACTGCTACGACAACTACTGCGACTGCTACTACGGGTATGAGTATTCCTCGCACCGTGGCCAATCCGCCAGACCTATTATCCTTGGCGTCGCGCGAAACGGGGTAGGGGGAGGGGACAAGGCTTATTAGAAGGAGGCTGTTTTTTACAACGCGCCAGCCCCGCGTCTGTAGGTTAGGCCCGCGCGGTCTGAGAAGCAGGTGTGCTTCTGAGTACCTCCCACCCTCCACACACACCCCTTGCGCGTGGCCGACCCATCTCGTCTCACCATCCCGAAGCCAATGCACACGAGGGCGGCCCGCACCTGCTCAAACTCCCGCCGGCTGGCAAGCTCCCGCCGGGCGGCAGTCGCCGACGCTGCAGCATGTGGAGCAATGCCGGGGGGCCAAGAAGCAGGCTGCGCGACGCGCTCGCAGTCTTTGATACCTTGACGCCAGGAAGGCCGCAGAGCTCTCTCGTGCGCCTCTGGCACCGTCCTGCGGGCCGTCATGGGCGTCTCCTGGAGACCTCATCGGCCATCTTGGCGGCGCTTTTGAAGCCAAGGGGCACGCTGCGCGACGTGTTCGCAATCCTTGATACCTTGAGCCAGGGTTCGTTTTTCAACCTGTTCGCGATAACGCGGAGGGGCCAGTCACCATTCGCGCCAACGCCTTCTGGGAATCAACCATGACCAAACGCGTCCGGACGAAACCGGCACGAATCAAAAGGTGACCGGCCCTCTCTCCTGGTCACGCCCGCTATCGCCAGGGAGTAAGGGAATTGAAGATCGCTCTCCAGAGAGGCCGCCGAGATCTCCCGTGTGCGTCTAGGACAATCCTGCGGGCCTGCTCGGCCGTCCTGAGCGCCTCCTGGAAACTCCATGAGCCATGTTGGCGGCGTCTCTAAGACACCTTGGAATGTGCTGGTGGCTCCTGATGCATCTTCACATGCCAGAAAAACTCCAACACAGACGAGATAAAACGTGTTAGCCCGAGGGTTGCGCCCGCCTCCACCCTCGAAATCATGAAAACACAGGTTGAAGTCGCTTTGCTCGGCTCTTCGGCCTCATAGCTGTCTCTACGCAGTGATGACGCATCAAAAAGCCGTCCGCAGTGCCGCCATATGTCCCCCCTGCACCGAAGGTTTGCGCAGAAGGAAGGAAGAGGAGGAGGAAACGAGATGAGAGAGGATGGGGAAAGGGGACACCGAGAGAACAACGGTGAGGCAAGTTAGAGGCGCAGCCACGGCCGCGCAAGGCGGGAAGGACGGCCTTCTCGATTTTCTTCCTCACTCCCGCAACCTCCCCTGCCAGCATATTCGCCGCGTTCTTGCCATCCTCGAGCTTCGAGTTGATTTCCTGGCTCCCCACTCAAAGAAGCTGTACATTGCGTGCCCCCTCTTCTCAGCTCACTTTCTGCTCTGCCTGGTAGATCATCGCTGCTGCGGCATGGGCTGGTCTTGAAATCCCTGGACCCAAAGTCCGCCGACCCTGTCGGCGTATGTGAGGTTGTCTGTTTGAGTCGTCGTCTCCGTCTGTCGTCGCGTCCGTCGTCCCACTTGCCTGTACCCATTTCATCAAGCTTGCCAGCGACGAGAAAATCAAGCAATGTCGTAATCGAGTTGGTGGGAAGCTCCTTCCTTTCGATCCACTCCCCGTCGGGGGGAAGGGGGGAATACGCATCCCCCCCTGGGGGTCCCCGGGACTCAGGACGTACCAGGACACGCCAAGAGTGCTCCAAAAGACGAGACCCCCAAGATGGTCCAAGAGGGCACACATTCACCATACGATATGTCCCAAACGCCTTCAAACCCTTGAGCCTGCCCGGGAGGCCTCCAGGACGCCCCAATGAGCCTGCGACGGACACAACCCATCGACACCAAGGAATGATATAAAGCGTGCCCACAATAGCGTGGCAGCAGCAGCGCACGAGACGGTGCGCGACAGATATCTATATCGCGCGAAGTGTGTGTGGCCGAGGTGCAAAAAGGGCCACGAGGCATTGTACTGGGAAGGAGAAGTACACACATGACATCGGGGTGGAAGAACAACCACCTCGGCAGAAGAAGCGAGATGGAGCATGGACAATCCAGGATTACATTGGCGGAAACGCAACCAGACAATGACATGTCGCGTTTTTCCATGCCGAAATGCTCCGCACCTGCGCGGCCGCGCCTCCGCGTTGCTGCAGCGCCTCGGAAAACAAAAAGCTGCCGTTACTAGTGTAAGAAGCGGTCAAGGCCTAGCTCGCCCGCCAGCCTCTCCGCTTCCTCCCGGCACCTCTTCATGCGAGCTCCAAAACGCGCGCACGCGCGCCGCCAGCCTTCAAACGTGTCGACACGTTCACACTTCGCACCCCCACCCAGGGGATGGTCAGGTCCTTTTCGGATCTGCGTGGGGCCCTACTGTACTGGCTCCCCCAGAAGACCTCGAAAGCGGCGACAATATCACACTTCGCAACCCCTCCCCCCAAAGATGGCGATGTCCCGTTTGGATCTGCGTGGGGCCCCACTGTGCTGGCACCCCCGACAGCCATCGAACGTGGCGACGGTTTCACACTTCGCAGCCCCCCAGGGATGGCAAGGTCCCTTTTGAATCTGCGTGGGGCCCCTCTGAGCAGGCTCCCTCAGTAGCCTTCGAACGCTGCCGCAGTTTCACACTTCGCAGCCCCGCCCCCCGCAGCCACCGAGACCAACGACAATTTCACACTTCGCAGCCCCCGCGAAGATGGCGAGGTCCCGTTTGGATATGCGCGGGGCCCCACTGCGCGGTCTCCCCCAGCAGCCCTCGAACATGACGACATGTTCACACTTCGCAACCCCCTCAGGGATGGCGAAGTCCCGTCTGGGTCTGCGTAGGGCCCCACTGTGCTGGCCCCCCTCCAGCAACCCTCGACAACGACAACAATGTCACACTTCGCCGCCCCCCAATGATGACGAGGTCCCGTTTGGATCTACGTGAGGCCCCACTGTGCGAGCCCCCCCCCCCAGCAGCCATCGAAAATTGCGACAATTTCAAACTTCACAGCCCCCCGAGGATGGCGAGGTCCCGTTTCGATATGCGCGGCGCCTAACTGTGCTGGCGTCCGCAGCAGCCCTCGAAAGTGGCGGCAATTTCACACTTCGCAGCCCCCCAGGGATGGCGAGGCAGTCCTCGAACATGGCGACAATTTCACACGTCGCAGCCCACCCCAGGGATGGATGGCGAGGTCCCGTTTGGAACTGCGTGGGACCCCACTGCGCGGGCTCCCCCAGCAGCCCTCGAAAGTGGCGACAGTTTCGCACTTCGCAGCCACCACGAGGATGCGAGAGGAGAATGCCGAGAGGAGAGCGGGGGGGAGTGCAGGCGCAGGCAGGGCGGGAAGTGGCGGAGGCAGGGCGGGAAGAGACGGAGGAGAAGGGAGTCGGCACCCCACTGCTCTTTTCAAAACGAGAACCTGACCAAGGGAGGGTTGAGCAAAAATTGGGCGGCCTCGCCGTTTCCACTTCCCGTCGCTCCAGGACGGCGCAAGAGACCCCGAAGACTGTCCAAAGACGGCCCGAGAGGCCTCCAAAAGGGCACCGAAACAGCTCAGTAGACGCCACGACAGCCCAAAACGCCTCCAAGGCGGCCCGGGAGGCCCCCAACACAACTCCAATAGCGTGCACAGACGGGGGACCCAAACGGACAGTTCGAGACCGAGGCCCCGAGAGGCTTTTAGAATGCCCCAAGCGGTTGCCCAGACTTCCCCCAGGAAACCCGAAGAGGCCCCCAAGAGGCTCCCAAGAGGGCCCCAAGAGGCCCCCAAGTGGCCCCAACATTCCGCCCCACAGGCCCCCGAGAGCATTCCGAAGAGTCCCCGAGAAGCATCCCATAGGACCTTGGCCGACGTCAGCGTCGTCGTCGTCGTCGTCGCCGCAGCCGTCATCGTTGTCGTCGTCGTCGTCGTTGTCGTCGTCGTCCGCATTCAGGATCGGCGGCCCCGGCCGCAAGGCCTTCACAATATTGGTATCTCTTTGTGGCCCACCCTTCCGCAACATCCACGAGCGGAGCCGTGGCCTTTATGCTTCCGCCGCAATCCGCCGCAGAACATACGTCAACTCCGAGGACCCGTTGGAGGCGAGGCCATGCCCAGAATGCCTCCCTCAATCAACGAGTACTGCCGAGCAGCCATCCCTACAGATACACCACGAACATGGTCTGCACACTTATCGTCTGACACCCTGGCCTCCCTCTCCCAACACTTTCCGAAAGGATCCCCCGCCCCCCGGAATCCAAGCCTCCCTTGCTCCCCTTGTTGCTCCTCCATCCCCCCACCCCACCCACCAACCCACCCCCTCCACCTTCCCCGTTCTCTTCCTCCTCCTGTTATCACGATTTGTAGTGCAGGCATGTCACATTGTGGTTGCCCCACTTCCCGTTCACCGCCTCCCCCTCCTCCCACTCCTCGTCACCCTCGCGTTCTTCCCGCGCCTCTTCCCGTTCCTGCTGCTGCCGCTGCTCACCCGCCCCCTTTTCCTGCTGGTTCCTGCCCTGCTGCTCCCGCTGCTGCGGCCGCCCGCCATCCTCCCTTTCCCCCTCCGCATCCTCCTCATGCGTCCATCCCTCCTTCCCTGCACCATTATTTTCCCTACACCTTGACATCCTCCTCCTCTCCGTCATATTCCTCGCCCTCCTTCGTATGCTCCGCTTCTCTCATTATGATGCTGCTCCCCCCTCCTCCTCCCGCTCCTCATTCCAGTGGTTCTCTCTTCATCCCGTCAACCCATGATCGAGGGGACTGCGGGTAGCAGGGCAAGGGGGGAATCGCCAAGACCACCAGCCCGCCAAGGCTGGCGCATCCCCCCGACGGGACCGAGGGCCAACCCCACGCCAAGATCGTCGGCCACTGATCCCCACGCACCGCAGCGGAAAATAACCATTCAAAGGTGCTCAAATGTGGACCACCATTCACCTCCGTCTTGGGGGAGGGAAACCGGCCCTGGTTTGGAAACGTGGTAGCCCTTACGCCATGCGACTTTGCCGCTCCGCAGCTGTCTCCTCTGGGCTACATACACCTTACGCAGGCCCCCACCCAGCTTCAGAGGTTGGCCAGAGGTATAGGCCCCACAGCGCAAGCAGAGAACCGTGGGAAGGCTCGTGCCTCAAACTCTACAAACATAAACTATAAAAACGGTTGGGGGTGCTCCTACTCATACGCCACAAATTATTTCATGGCTGGGCTAAGGGCCGCACACCGACTGACGGGGTTGCTACGACGGGAGCGCCGAGCACAATTAAGACAGCGCCAACGGCAACCGATCCAAAGCACACGGTGGGCACAACTGCTGGGGATTGGCCTGGGATCTGGGATGACGGTGGCGGCCCGGTCCAAATCCCACCAGCCCTCTGGGCGTAGGTGGTTTAGGGCGTTTCCTCGTCCACCCCTCCTTTTTCCTCTTCGGGGAGGGGCTTACCCCTCCCCCGACCCCCTCCCCATGGACCTGGACGGGGGGGGCCGCGGGTAGTTAGAGCGTCCAAGACGGCCTCGGAGAGCAAGCAACAATCATTGGTGTTACCAGGGTTTTGGCCCCATGTTGGCCTCTTTGGGGAGACCGTAATTGAAGAACCCCCCTTCGTTGACCGATCTCCTCCAAGATGGCCCCAAGAGACCAGGAGGCCCCAAGAGGTCCAAAGATGACCCCAAGATGGCCCTAAAACGCCCCCAACCCCCAGGAGGCCCCCCAAAGGATCCCAAGCGGCCCCAAGAGGCCCCCCCGAGGCACTCAAGACGCCGAAGAGCCTCCTACGACCGCCAAGAGACCCCCAAGACGTCCCAAGACGCCCAAAAGATACCCCAAGAGGCTCCGACAAACATCAAAAAAAACATCTGGCCCTTTTGCTTGCTCTCCTCCTCCTCCTTCCTCCTATCCCTTCTCATTCTCCTCCTCCCCCTCCGCCTCCTAATCCTCCTCATCCAATTCATATTCCTTCTCCCAAGTCCCTCATCCATCCATCCAATTTTCTCCTTCGCCCCCTCTCTCCTTCACACGGCTCGGCCGTCCCACTCTTTGCTCCCGCGCTTCTCTGATCACCTCTTCACTCGCCGGGACATCGTTTCTGGATGGGCTGGTGGGGATATTTGTTTGGTCGCGGCCGCGAGCGAAGAGCGCCGGCGGCGAACAGGGTGCCCGGGCCGACGGGCAAGCCGAATTAGCTACTGGGCGCAGCACAAGCCGGCCGGGCCAGCTCACAAGGCGGCAGCTGGGGCAGCAGGGCGGGGGCTGGCTGGCTGAACTGGAACGCCCAGGGAAGCTCGAGCAACGTGCAACCCTAAGCAAAATGCTAGGGAATTCTGTGTTACGCGCTGCGGCGTCAAGCCACTCAGGTGGAGGTGCAAG